CATTCAAGCCGCAAGGGAAAGGTAGAAAAAGTACAGTCATCATGCGGAGGACTGTCCCTTTGTTGCACCTCGATGTACCTACTTCTGTTTGTCGCACTTCTGGCCATCAATTGCAAGGGTCGAATAAGTCGCTTGTCAATCAGCGGCGAGAAGAAAAAGTGGCAAGAGAATGGAACTCCTTGGGCTGGAGAGGAAAAGTCAACGAGTTCTGGGATGTAGGCAAAATGCCTCTCCTTTGTTTTCCACCCATGTACCCATGTCGGGCTATTATGCGATCGGAATGCTTAAATACTTGGCTTGTTGCGTTGACTTCGCTCCGTGATCGGTCCAGAAATGCAGATTATTATGGCGTAGATGCTTCCATTAAGCCAACTGTCAGTTGACATGGAATAGGGGAATGTCTGAGGTGAAGATTTCTCCGCGGAGGACCATCAGATGATAGAAATATTTCTGAGATCGCGATTAGGAGGGGAATGTTCCTATAAATTCCGTCTTTATTGAAAATGGTGACTGATTGTCATGTTCCCTACGAAATAGCAACCTACACTGAGAAAGAATCTTTTAGGTTTCAAACAGCTTAATAGGTTGATATTTATTCTTATATATTAAAATGACATATATATCTTTTAACATAAATGTTAGTCCCTGCAACGTTCAAGTGAGAAAATATCAAGAAATTAAAGCCCTAATCGATTTTCTTGACACTTCACAAGTCCCAATGAATTCCCGACCATAATGAAAAACTCCCCAAAGATGTTTTCTCCCACATCTCTTTAAGTGCAGTAAACTTCCAGCAGTGTGTTTTCTGGTTGGTTAACTGGAGTTGATTGTCTTGTGTAACTTGAACCGCGTGTAAAATGTGCGGGAAGACGTGCGAGACCCGCAGAGGCAGCAGTGGCTGGGAGATTTCTATATGCAGTTGTCTGGGGCGTTGGTCAGCGGGATGTGCGAACTCCGCACTGATCTACAAACTTTCTCACATGAATCCGCGCACATGAAATGCAAACAAAGTGGAACAATATTCATGTTGCCACACACACACACATTGGCAGTCAAGTTTGATCGGTTTACAACATCTCACTCGCAGAAAACACAAAAACTATAAAAAAATGAAAAACAAACAAAACCAAACAGAAAAAGAGCATACTACAGAAACGGCAGCAAAAAGCACACAAAACAAAAATAAAATCACGGTCAGGCGGCAGAAAAACGAGTTTCTTGGCCGATCGAGCGAGTGAGCTATAGCCTTTACCATATAGTGACTGGCGCAGTTTCGATTTGCGAAACGGGTTTGCGCACGTTTAAGCTTCGAAGGGGCGGAAACAGATGGGCGTGGCACTGATCGGCGGGAAAACCCAAATAATCCCTATTCTACTTAGGTTCCTTCTGACTCTTTTAGGATTAGAAATTTATGATCTGAATAGAAAAGATTCATTCCAGGAACTTGATTATCGGTAACATAATCAAAAAAGCCATTAAATATAGAACATCTTATCCTAAGGGGGTATACAACATATCTTTGCAGAATACTAACATTATGAATAATTAAACAGTATTTTTATGCATTTGAAATAAAAGAATATTAATAAGAACCTGCGCTTAAAGTTCACGTCGGCATAGCTCAGTACTCAGAACACTAACTCGCAATTTACATTTTTTTAAACTTTTTATAATAATAAAAAATATTTGGCAAACGTCTTTCACATAAAGATGTATTTAGCCGAATTAAAAACACAATGCCTGTTTTTCGTTGTGTCTATTCCTTTAAATTTAAACATATTAATTCAAATTGTAGTATAATATTTGAATGTGCAATCGTAAGAGGTATAATATTTTATATAATCATAATCGTATATTAAAATATTAATAACTAAAGAGAAAATCCAATCCAAACCCTTTTCTATTTATAAGGCTAATATTTATGGTTTCCGATGAATTATTATTAGCCAGACAGTAGCTTTGTTTACGCATTCCACCCATCCAACTGCGGAACAAAAAAGCAGAAAAATAACTCGAAAACAGCTGCACGGACAAAAGCTCGGATTTCCAGCTAAAACTCCCCCAAAACGACATCTATATAATAACTACAATTTTGCACAGAGCAAAATCTGCGGCCAGTACCGCAAACGTATCTCTGAGCGCTGAAAGCAAAAGTAAACAAAAGGCGGAGAAGAGGGCGGTGATCATGCAAACAAAAAGCCAAAGCCAAAGCCAAAAATAAACATTTTGCATTTGAGAACCGAGAGCCAAGAAACGCAAAAGAGTCCAATTACGGGCCAAGCGGCGAATGAGGAATTGCCAAATGGGCGCAAATACAATATTGAATTTGGAATTGGAGGGGTACGAATCCGAGTGCGAGGGGATGTGGGGCTGTTGAGGAGTTAAATGGCAGCTGTGCAGATTAGCCAAGACAGCAACCTATCTAATATGGACATTAATTGCCAACATCCCACACAGAGATAAACATTTAAGTTATGTGTAACTATTTACATTGTAATCTCTTCTTCAGGTAATACAAGTTGAAGATTTATATATCTTTTATTTTTTATATGATTTATTTTCAATGAAATATTGAAGTAAATATTGTATGGATTTTCTTAGGAATAATACATATTTATACTATTTACAATTATATTAACCAACCAAGTATTTAGAGACCCCAGATATATTTATGTAGGACGAAAATAAATTATAAATTCTATGGGCATAAAGTGTTTCTTCTGTGAACATTTTAATGAGTCCAAAACGATAGGACAATCTATAGAAGTTTCAACAGTTGAACTCATATGGTCAGCCCATTGGTTGACCAACTTATCTACTCTTCTAGCTTTTAACAATTATGTAGTTCTGATAACGCTTTATTTCCTATAAATGGGTAGACTTTATGCGCCTAACTAATAACTATTACGCTTTACGAAGTTTGTAATAAAAAATAACAAATATGTATATGCAATGCGGGCTCACTCGTAATAAAAGAGTTACTGCAATACTATTTTTGAAAATAAATATAACAAAAATATTAAAATAAATATTTCTAAGAAAATTACTTCTGTTGTGATATACAATATATGTCTAATAAATATAAACTTCTATAAAGTGGCATTATTATCAAAGCACCTATATAAACACGTTTTCAATGGAAATATAGTGCTCGACAGCCGTAAACAAAATAAATATATTTATATACTGTAATTAAGAAGAATAAAGGCAGACCCACATATAAGATATAGGGCACTCGACTGGTCTTTACCCCTGATCTACATCAATTTCAGAACCTAGAACCTATCATCGGGGCCCAATATTTGATTTGCCTTAGGCCGCTGTTTGTATTGAGACAACATATACCAATATATGCCGTGGCGTAATTAGATTATCTTGCACCTGTGCTCGTGGGCCAGATTCTCCTCACTCTTCACTCTTCATGGGTTCTGTGGATTGTCGTCCCACATTTGATTTCACCCGCACTTGTTTTCGATTTCGGTATTTATTTACCTTATTTACTCAGCTTTTTGTGCTGGCTTAGTGCACTTTCTGGGAAGTGGTAATTTTCTTTCTTGTTTTCCTTTGCCCTTCTTATCAACCGATGTCAATGCAATTGCATTGTGTCATTGTTTGTGGGGCAATATAGTCTTGCTCTATCTTTTCTGGGACTGTTTTTGGGGCAACATAGCCCGCGATAAGGTGATTGGAATGTGGAACGTGCCCATTGATAACAATCCAGGTAACACTGCTGACACCCCACTAATCTTACTCATTCAAACTCCGAGAGTAGAGAGAGGAGAATAAACCAAAATAAAGCAAAGCCATGAGTCATGCGAAAACAAGAGAAGTACAAAGTTCAGCTGCACAAATTTGCAGTCGCATGCAGTGAGGTGTGCGAAAAAGGCGAAAATGGAGCTGGAAGAATAAGAAACAGAGGAACTGGATTATGTAGCTACAGTAGACACTACGCAGTTCACTAGACCTCAAGTTTCAACTTTATTTTAAGTTTAAATATTTTTTGTGTATCAAAATATCTACTTTTGCAAGTCAGCATAAAGAGAATAATATTTATGTAATTTTAATAGAAATTAAAACTAAACATTCGCTTAACATGAAAACATTTTAATTAAACAAAAGAAGTTACTTCAATTATTACGAATATGTTCATCATACTAGTATCTAATTGAAAAGCTATTCCTTTTCAAGAAAAACAAACTATTTTCCCATTACCAAAATAGGGTTCTCGGGTTCTAGTTTTACCTACTCCACTGTACTTTGCTATCAGTGTTTCTCCAATTGTTGTTGTTCTCTGGCGGTGGGCAAGACAACAACAGTACAATGACCGAAAGTTTGCCATGCAAAAAATGAGAGACAGAGAGGGAGTGGAAAAACAGAATTGTAAGCGGCAAAAAAAAAAACGTAGTAGAAAAGTAAGCATGTAAGCTACTACTATTAAAACCTGTTAGTCAGAGCAGAGCACTACAAATTCCGATCTTCCAGTGGGTCTCTCTCCATTGGAGATTTTTCTGCAGCTTGGTTTTGTTTCTCTCTCCCTCTTTATGGAAACAGGTATAACTGTTTGGCGTGAGGGAGCACGAAACTCCATTGGAGACTTCTCGCCACGAAACAAACGATCAAAATGAACACTCTGATAACGTATGAAGGTGAGCAACAAAATAAAAAAATACCGTCACGAAAAACAACAATAACAATAGAAATGTCGACGCACCCTTTTCTTTTTCTTGCAAAGAATAAGAGAATGGAGAAGAAGCGCAAAACCACATCCCGCTGGAAGCGTCTCTTTCCCCCGCTTGGAAAAAGAAGGCAGCTTAAAGAGGAGCGGGTGGCGTTCCAGCGTGTGAGAATGTGAGTGTTGCGTATGAGGGAAAACAAAGCAGACGCCGTTGGAATGTCGTTGTTATTTTTTTGTTGTTAAGCCGGACATGGCAATTGTTGCTATTGTAATTCAAAGGGGGTGGCGAAATTCATAAATATCTAGGGGGCTACATATTCTATACCTCTTTCCTTGTCGCCCGGTTTAATCCAATTTATCCAGCTTTGTAATCAGGTGGGAATGCAAAAACAACAGCTTTCGCTCGCTATTTGCGTATTTTTTCACTGCACTTTGGGGCTGCTAATTAAATTAAGCCAGCAATTAAATATTGGTTAACTTTGTCGTTGTGTTGGTGTTGCTGTTGGCATGTAGTTGCTGTTTAACTTGTTGTTGCACATTTCGCGTCGCGGCGGCTGCGCAGTCGACGTCGGCGTCGAAAGAGAGCCAAGTGCGCAAGGGAATGCGAATATTACGGAGAAATCTCGAATTTAAAAAACACAGCTCACTTTTCACGGGCTGCGACTTCGATGAGAATCGATCGATACGGTAATGAAAAACGACAATAACAATCTCGACACTTGTTGCAATTTGATTTTCCAGGGAAACGAAACTCGGCGATCGGGAACTCAAGAAACGCGAGCGACGCGCGCCTTCGACATTTTTCCGCTGTGTGACCAACGGTAAGCTTGCGCAGAATTAATTCAATAGTACCGTAGCACAACCTTTGAATTTTACCAGAGATTATCGAGGTCCTAAATATTCCAAAAAGACATATGAGCACATGCATTAACCATGGTTGTGTACTCGACTACTTATTATAGCGGGGAATCTAACCCGCTGATCTAAGCCGTTTTATTTAAAATTTGCTTTTAAATAAATTAGTCTTAAAATTCTTAAAATTTAAGTAACTTAATTTTTTTTGAATAAACAACATAGTATTCCAATAATCGTTTATTTAATTATTCTGAATTTTTAATGACAATAAATATGAAATCTTGCAAACAATAGAAAAAAAGGAAATTCGAAAGAACCTAAAAAGTAAAAGCTAATAATTTTTAGTGAAAAGTTGCAAGCAATAGAAAATTTTAACCTAAAACTTAAAGAAAATAATAAAAAAAAGTCTAGAATTTAACGCTAATATTTCAATATTATCAAATTTCTTAAATTCTTCAATTTGTATTGATCTAAGACTTTATTTTATATCTTGAATAAATGAAATGCCTTTTCATATTTTAGGCAAGTATGTTCATTGTATCCTCGTAATAAATATAACTTGCTAAAAACATGATAACTAATATATACCTATTTATTTTATAGTAACTATGATTTCTATAATTGGAAAGTTATCTTTACAAATATGCATATTCAAAAAACAAATCATATTAAAAAAAATCATATTTTTTATTTAGTTAAGTTTGTTAAGTTAAGTTTTCCAGATTTAACAAGATTACTGTTTTACACAATTTTAAAATATTCATTTTGCTAGTGGAAATGGACAAGGCGCCGCCTTTTGTCAGAAAAAAGTAACTGTGTGAGTAAGTGGTGACGTCACTTTCCTTATAACCACATTTCTTCATAAATAACGAAAAATTGTTCCGATTTCAAAAATCTTCGGTAAATCGATAGATATTGACAAAAAATGTTATTCAAGGTCAAACGAAGACATTCATAATAATATTTTGGACGTTACACTTTCCCTCGGTATGTGGGCGTTGAAGTGGGCGTGACAGGATGCTGAAATAAACTTAATCTCAACTTTCTACCTCTTATAGTTCCTGAGATCTCAGCTTACTGAGATACGGACAGACGGACGGACGGTCAGAAGGACATGGCTTACTCGACTCGGCTATTCATTCTGATCAAGAATATATATATATTACTTTATAGGGTCGGAAACGCTTCCTGTTACATACTTTTCTACGGATCTAATATACCCTTTTACTCTGCAAGTAACGGGTAAAATGCAATCCTCTTTTTCAATGTAGGCTGAACTTTAATTAAGATATAAAAGAAACATAAAAGATAATCTAAAATAAAAAAACGGATTGGGGAACAAAAGGGGGTGAAACAAAAGGGTTAGGAAGTCGGGTCCAGCCTTCTTTTTTTTGCCTTTGGTGGGCCTAGATATTCCTCCTGGCGCCTGTAAAGGCCTTCTACATCCGTGTAACCATCCGGAGCCTCTCCCCACGGCACCACCTTGTGCTGTATGCTGGACAGAATTGCGGTGCAGCCGAGCTTGACCTGCGGCGGCATAGGGCGAAACAGAGGCTCCTTATAGGGGGCATGTACTTCCCAAGACACCGAGAAGTCGCAGCGGATGACGCAGAGGGTTACTCTTCCACCGGAGTTTAGATCGTTCTCCATGCCAGCAGCCACGGCATCGGCGATGACACTACGGGCGTCCTCCTCATCCAGATACTCTGTCCATCGGGATTCTAGAATACCCATGGCAGCCAGATGACCTGAGCCCAGCGCCGAGAACGGACAAGAGTCCGCTGTGCCATCGAACCGGGTGCAGAATAGATGCGTTCCGGTTCCGTCCACGCCGCCGATGATCACGTTGACCTGCATGTTCCCACTGAAGCGGTAGAGGAGCTGCCTCACCGTCTGGTTGGCACAGCACACTGGCACCATTCGATCTCCGGTGTTCATGCTGTGGAGTTCTAGTTGAGCATGGGTAACTTCCATCAGGGCACATGCGTCTTGGGCGACTCCGGCTCCTCCGGCACTTAAGGGTTAAACAAAGAACTGGTTAGAAACTCTATATTTCGAATATATTTCGAAATATTTTTTTCAAAACTTGCTTACAAAATGTTGGGCTGAAGTTCATAAATTTTACGGCTATTGCTCGAGGGTATTATGTGGGCGTTGATGGCTCTCGATTCTGCGCCAATGACGACTCCTCCGTCAAAGATCATGGCTGCTATGGTAGTGCCAGTGCTGATACGATTGGGCTCCAATATACCGTTCTCCATTAGTCTTTTGTTGCTGAGAAATGGAAGTAATTAGCGCATGTTAAAGAAAAGCTAACAATTCTACTTCCCTAATCGTAAATCGTAAGCTGACTTGACTGAAGGATGAAATAAACAACACGTTTTGCTTTGTTCAAATGAAAGTATAATAAATGCTTTCTTTTTTATTATTCATCATCATTATGGAATCCGTTTAGTACCTTCTGAACTTAACCTAGCGTAAATAACGCGAAACAAATTTTATGGGTACATGATAACCTTAAAAACTAAGTAACACTTATTATGAATTGCAAAAGTACAAAACTAGGAACATATTATGAGATCTTACACTAGTGAGATCCAAGGAATGTAGCTTCTTCAGCTGTCGAAGAGAAATTGGCTCAACTAGGCCACTCGCCAGAGATTTAGGGTGTGCCACGATCCTGTCAGCATGAAGAAGCCCAGATTAATCTGTTCCCCCACGAATGAGTCGAAAGTCTCTTTCGATGGCACAGTTTGTAACATACCAGGGAACTGATTGCACTACCCTAAGCCTCTTAAGCTGATGCTTAGAAGCAGTGCCCCATACTTGAATGGCGTACGTCCAAGTAGTCGTCAATATGGCCTTAATTAACAGTGCTTTAGTTAATAAATGCAGTTTATTTGACCGCAGGAGCCAATTAAGCTTTTTTAGCTTCTGCAGACATCTGGCTTTGATCGCCGTGATGTGAGCCCTCCATACTAGCGTTCTGACCAAGTGTACTCCTAAGTAGCAGTGGGAAGTAACACTGGTGAAGGCATCTCCGTTGAAGGTGAGACCATCCGAAGTACCGAGCCGACTGGCGAAGGTCATGCAGGCGGATTTAGCACAGTTAATACAGTTGAACGGTCATTGCCTTGATGTTGTCTTCGCAAAGTGTAGAATAAGGCTAGTGGGATATGGAGGATTTTAATAAGATCGCAGTGCCTCCATGCGAACTGTCATCTGGGTGGTTGGAAGCGTGAAGCGTCAAGCCAGGTATTCTCAAGGTAGACCGAGAAGAGAAATGTGATTCAGAGAGCAAGAGCATATCGATTTTGGAGAGTTCAATGAAGGGAAGAATTTCGTTGACTTTCGTGGTGGATAATAAATGCTGAAACACAATTTTGAAATTTAAATCTTCCTGATTCGTATATGATTGCATACTTTTGGGGTAAGCCATTAAATGGTTTTAAAATGTTAAAGACAGAGGACACACCTTAATTATTCAAACGGATACATATTTAGGCATTATTTCGATATTTATAAATACTCACCGTAAGCAATTGTCAAAACTAAAGCCGCTGGGACCACATTGATATGGCGAACGAGCAGCATATTTCATCATCGTCGGTATACCATTAAACATGATGCCGAAGTTTCTTAGCTTATATAAATATATTCAATATATTCAAAATATAATCTAGTTTCTGAAGTAGAAATACGAATTCAAATTCATAGCCTAGTTGAGCTAGATTAAGGTACAAAATTAATATTTGGATGTACTTGCAACTCTTTGAAATATTACCCAGCCAGGTATATCTATTCAAATATACATATGGGAAAACGGTATGTTATCTTACTCGGATATCATATCCTTTCCTTTAAAATCGAAAACAAAATTCATCATACATTTTATAAAACTGATAATGGATTGTAGTTCGAAAACTATTTTTAGATACCGATTTTAAATTCAAGAAAAATAATGACTTTGTTGAAGGATCATTATGGCAATATCAAATTTAAAATCCAACCATCTTTACGAAATAGTGTCATTAGGACAAAGGGGATTTTAGGAATACCCCAATTAAATTATTGCGGAGACCTGTAATCGATTCTTAATCTATTAACGGTCCCACTGGCATTTAAGCTTCGACTTTGGCCGGTTGAGTATTCGATATATCTATATATATTGGTTGAAATACGCCGATTTACAGCTTAGCAGGTGTAGCTAGCAGAGACTCTGGTGAGGAGGCTTATCTCTTATTTATATAATAAAAAACACTTAAACCCTTATTAAATCTAAAAAAGTAACAACAGTATCTAGAACGGCGGACAATCTGATAACCAATCTTTTGAAACGATCTTCGGTAAAATGTCTGCCGACCGTCTGGATGTGATTATCTTTGGTGCCAGTGGTTTTACCGGCAAGTACACGGTTTTCGAGGCTGTATCCGTGCTTAGCGGCTTGCGATGGGGAATCGCTGGCAGAAACCGCGAGAAACTGGTAGCAGTCCTTAAGGAGATGGGTGCCAAGGCCAAAAAGGACCTCTCACAGGTCCCCATCTTTATAGCAGACGTCAACGACGAGGCTTCGCTGCTGGAAATGGCCAAGAAGTGCAGGATTGTTGTGAACACAGCAGGACCCTACCGATTCCACGGCGAGAAGGTGGTAAAGGCCTGCGTCGAATCGGGCACGCATCATGTGGATGTTAGTGGAGAGCCCCAGTACATGGAGACGATGCAAATGAAGTACGACAAGCTGGCCAAGGAAAAGGGCGTTTATGTGGTCAGCGCCTGTGGCTTTGACTCCATACCCGCCGACATGGGCGTCATCTTTGTGGAAAAAAACTTTGATGGCGTCGTGAACTCCGTGGAGACTTTTTTAGAGAGTGGAATCAAGGAGGGCGAAAGTGGAAGAGGCAGCGCTGGACTAAACTACGGAACCTGGGAGAGCGCAGTCTATGGGCTTGCCCACGCGGACGAGCTGCGCGGCATCCGGCAAAAGCTCTACCCCCAGAGGCTGCCCAAGTTTTATCCTGTTCTTAAGCCACGACCTCTGGTTTTCCGTGCCACCGAGGTTGACAAAGTGTGCCTACCATTCCCTGGCTCCGATCGCTCGGTAGTGATGAGATCCCAGCGCTTTCTCTACGAGCAGGAAAAAAAGAGACCAGTCCAAATGCAGGCCTACGTAGGATTTCCCTCTTGGCTGGCTGCTAGCGTTGTGATCCTATTTGCCAGCATCTTTGGACTGTTCTCAAAGTTCAAATTGGGGCGAACGCTGTTACTAAAGTATCCCGGCATATTTTCCGGAGGATTGGCCTCACGTTCCGGACCAAGTGAAGAGTCAATGGAGCGCACCTATTTTAGGATGACATTTAGAGCCATTGGCTGGCCCAAAAGCGATCGCCTGGCCGAGGGATCAGACCAATATACGGAGCCCCCGTCCAAGTCTCTGATGGTTCGTGTTTCGGGTATGAATCCTGGATATGGAGCAACCTGCGTGGCCCTGCTTTCTACGGCCTTAACCATTCTTCGCGAGTCCGACAAAATGCCTAATAACGGCGGCGTTCTGGCTCCTGCTGCCGCCTTCTCAAAAACTAGCCTGATCAGCGAGTTGGAAAAGCATGATCACGGCATGAAGTTCGAGATTCTGGCCAATAAGTGAACTACAGAACGAACCTAAGAACTAAGACATCGGCTCTCTTAACAATTAGGCTAGTTTGCGATTATTGCACGTTGTCAACTGTAATTATATAGAACGAACCTAAGAACTAAGACATCGGCTCTCTTAACAATTAGGCTATCTTGTGATTATTGCAAGTTGTCAACTGTAATTATATAAGCACTTATTAAATTTACTAACACAACCGATAAACCCGCTGTTAATGTTTACTTTTCTAATATTTAACAATTTCAAAGTTCTAAAAGCAACGCCATACCTTTTAAACTATGGAACAGGTTACGCAATTAGGAATAGAAAATTGCATCTTACAAAAAAGGCGAAATAATGACCTAACCATCGGTGCAATTCTCGATTACGTGTTTTATGGCGGGAATAAAGCACTTCCGACCCTATAAAGTAAACATTTTCTTGATCAGCGTCATCAGATGACAGTCCATATAGACAAGTCTTTCTGCACCTAGCGATATACTCGTTGAGTTCAAAAGCTATCAAGCCAGTCTGATAAATACAAGGAAATCAAAAGGGAGGGAATGTAAACAGGAGAAAAACGGTTTTTATTCTGAGGCGCTAATTTTCACGAGTACAATAAACAGTTTGCTCTATGAAAACAAGTTTTCAGACCTGCAAGTAATGCAATGCCTCTACCTTCAAATGTCACTACTTTGTCTAAGTAAATAGTAATTTCTGCTTCTGTTATTTCTGTATACAATAACTTTACGTCTTAACTGGAAGATTTTTTTGAAATTACTTTAATTTTGGTTAACCAGTTCTTTATTGTAACAGTAAAATGCTAGGCAATCACTTGATAAGCAGGCTAAAGGTTTGGTTAGGGGCATATATCTGTAGGGGATTTGCAGCGTATATGGTCACCGGCAAGTTCCACACCATTGTCTCCACCGGCATCTCGGCGGGTGCTTTTAACTCGCCAAACTCTGGATTTGGAATACCAAAGTCCATCAATGTGGTGGTCACAAACTCGAAATGTAAACGCCACCGGACGTCTACAAGATCTGTACGGAATGTGGGTGTTACATGCAACGGAATCGGCACTACAACCTGCGTCTGGAGTGTTGCATAGCACACCTGGTGAGAGGTGGAAATGGTAGATAGTTTCCCAATTGGCTCAGGAGCTTCTTTATCCCGTGAACTTCCCGATGTGGCCGACTTGTGGAGACTATCGGCAACCACACCGCTAGCTATGCTGGCCATATCAAATGAATTAATTGACGAGACATCATCTCCCGTAGACAATTGGGATTGAAGCTGATGATTCTGCACAGGTTGTGGCCGTATGGGAAGCTCCTGCTGCTGAAGTTTTACAGAGAACTGAACGCAGCGCACCTGGAAAAATATGAGATGTTAACCGTCAAACATCTAGGATGGGTATTTAAAATAACTAACCTTGCGGGGGCTAACACCTGGGTCAAAGTCAAGGCTGCCAACTATGTCCTCGCCGAGTTTGTAAGCCGGCTTAAACAAGCAAAAGCGACCAACAAATCCCCGCTTGTTCGAGATGCGATAAAACTTGGGTGCCCGTCGAGCGGTCACGTTCTGAAAGGTATTAAAAAATAATAATTTATAATTACAGAATGATTAGGTCATCGTGGACACTTGCTTTAAGATGGTGCCAGGATATCTCCAGTTCGCTTATTTCGCGCTTCTCCAGGAAGGGATTAGTGGGTGCCAGCTCCTCGTTGGTCTCTACGGTTACGGGAAGCTCGTCCGGGCGGGAAATTATAGGTATAGGCAGCACTCGGATGGGAACGGCTAGAGTTTGCACCTTTGACTTGACCCGTTGCGTAGCAATAGTGATCTTGTAGAAGTAGCGGATGTTATGACCCCTGTAGGTTGGTGGACCATCTCGTGGAACGAATTCATTAAAAAAATCTGAGATATCGATAAGAAAATAAATTTTATATGAAATACACTTGATTCGACTGTAACTTACACATCTTGGTCTCTCCGGGCAGCAGCCGCAGGTCGCAGAAGAGTATCTTGGGTTTGGTAGCCACAATCACTTCGCCCGGCGCCTGGGTAACCGCATCCAGGGCCGTTCGCCCGATCATCTCCGTGAGTTCTGTCGTTCTGTCTCCCGCGGAAGTGGATAAGCTAGTTTTCCGGTAGCAGTGCAACTGCGCCGACGCCCAGGCGAGATTTTCCTGGCTGCTTAAATGGTTTAGCTGGTAACTGAATGACAATAACCATTTATTTAGCTCACCTTGCTTCGTTGGCATTCTTGCTGCGGGATGTGTTTTGTTCGTCCGAGAAGACTTTGTGGGTGAACTCAATAAGGCACTCGACTCTCTCTCCAGTGGCGTATATAGCCGAATCTGCCCGAACCAATTTAGCCTTTATTTCAATCATTTATTTACCTTTTTCAAAAGCAACAATTCATTAGTATTTTATAGAGTGGCCGTTTGGCGGAAAAGTAGAAATACTATGCTTTCAAGCTTTGATAGTCCAATTGGCCTTATGAACGCATTTTCAGCTCAATACGGATTACTTTCCATAAAACAATTACTTGGGAAATAATTTTTGTTAAAAATACATTAAATTTACTCTTTAAAGGATTTCTATTTAAAAAATAATTATAGAACTTTGAATAAACGCTTTAATTATGCGCTTTAACAGTGTGCCCAAAAGTATGCTCTAAAATATGTTCTTAAAATATAAGCCTGTCACCCAAGTCGTTAGCACATTGGGAAACAGAAAAAAAATTTGTGTTATGGAATAAATATAATATATTGAATGATTTCTGTACTGTGAAAATAAACTTAATATCAAGTATATCAAAGTTCAACAAATGTTTATTAAATTAATACATTACAAATTTTTAGCTTTTGTAGCTCTAGCCTGAGTCTAGCCAAGACTTAAACTTATGATGATAATTTATTGCGATTTTCCGAAATCTAGATCTTCATCTTGACGTCGACTTTTAATTGTTAAGTTTTGGAGAGTAAGATGACTTTTCCTGAGAGGTATTGACATTTAAATAATATCAAGTCCAGTTATTTAAACTGGTTGAATGTAAGTGAACTCCTGCGCTAAAGCGATTGAAGATCAATCGCCCCGGTGTTTGGCGGAAGTAAGAGACTTCCTCAATATCTCAATAAGTATAAAATGTTGCGGTACAATCCAGAATCAAATATTCAGCTGCTCTACCTGCCACAGAATGAAGCTGCACTTACTTTTGCTGGTCGGTCTCCTCGGATTAACTATTGTCCAATGTCAAATACTACTTCCAGGACTCCGAGTTAGGCAGGTCCCCGTGCTTGAAAATGGCCAAATTCGAGTGGTGCAGTACCTCGATGCGGCCTCCACAGTAACACCTGAAGTGGTAAAGGATCAATTCAGTAGACGATTTACGACGTTAGCCAAGCCTTTAATCAGTGGTGCTCCTCCTCAAACTAGTCTTCCTAACTTTCCTTAACTTGTAAATTGTATTGTAGCATCTAAAGCTTTGTAAAATAAAAAGTTTTCTTGAACTTAAAAACAATACATTCAATGCATCATATATTATTCTTTCTAGTTGTTTCAACGGTTTGTGGTCTGGAATTAAAGCCAGTCGAAAAGTAATTAGCATTGCTTTAATTTTTAATCTTATTTCCCACTTTCAAGCTATTCAAAATTTTAAGGTCTAGACTACCAAGTGATATTTATGTATAAATTCAATTAATCAATTAAATTAAATAAATGGTTATCATCTTAATATTATATATTAAGGGCCTATTTATATTAAGAAAAATATTCTTAAAACCATAACAATTCTGTGGTATTTCTTTTATTATTTTTAGTGATACTAGTCAATTAATTAACAAAAAAACACTTATTAAAAAAAATTTTTGAAAATATCAAAATTCAGTTTAAACGATAGTTCACTTTTCTAATCAGGGATGGGCGAAAGCATTTGGGACTTCCACTATCTGGTAACACTGCAAAGTAATAGTCATTGAAAATAAAGTCGCAAAATTAAAATAGTTTTATAGCCGACAAAGGCCCAGGAGCAGCTAAGATGTACCAGGAATACATGAACCAATTGCAGGCCTCCATTGCGCCCATGGCCTCTGATGAGCTAAAGGAACTTCTAAACGACGACGAGAAGCTTGAAACCAAAGTGGACGAGGTTCTTCAGGTGCTGCGAACTCAGAAGACCAGCGTTTTCGAAGACAACCGAAGTAGAGCGGAGCACAATATAGAGCGGGAGCCTCAGATTATAGAGCTGAGGGCTCGCCTGGCAGAACTATCTGATGAGGGACGCACCAGGTGTACCTCTGTCCAGGATAAGCTGTCCCAGCTTAAGGAGAAGTCCGGTGGAGTGGGTCCTGAAACGGCACTGGCTCTACTGCAAACCGCCGCCTCCGAAAGCGAAGAGCAGACCGAGGAGATGATAAAGAAATTCAACGACAGCGATCTCGGAGTGGAAGCTTTTCTGGAGGAGTTCCTTGCAAGCCGACGGACCATGCACTTGCGTCGCCTTAAGGCCGAGAAGATGCAAGACCTTATGCGCAAACAGCGCCAGGGACCGCCAAATGCTTCTGTGCCAGCATACGGAAACGTGTCCTCTGGCGGATTTTATCCTTCAGCTGGAAACTCTGCCCCCTATCCTATGATGGGTCCCTTAATGCCCATGCCACCGTCATCTAGACCCTACTGAGATCTCGACCTTTGCTAGAAGCGTATTGACTGCCACGGCGCATCCACCATCAATAGGCGAGTTTACAATTTCTGTTTTGAGTTTAATAAACAAAAGGTGCTTTAAGAATAGAATTGCGCTAGGTCTTATCAGGCTAGCCTAACCGTCGTTCTCTATAAAGATAATTTCATATTAATGTTGTTGTGTTTTGTAATTCAAACAACAGAATAACGAATTACTAGAAGTGCTTTTTGTATAAATACAGAAGAGTGATTCATCCATACACTTTTGATCAGGGATTTTTCAATTAACAACACAATATGCATTTCACCAGATATTTAAATATTGAATACAGCCAAATACTAAACTTGTTTTAAAAATTATCTTTGCAGAAAGCACCCATTTCCAGAAGACAAATGAACTTATAGTTAAAAACTTTTTATTGTTTAAAATTTCAGAGTCCTCACTTTAAGTACATATTGCTTCAGTTTCTTCTTCTGATACAGTGGGTTAATTGCAAATCAGAGGGAACGTTCTGCCTGCTTTAAAATTAACATTTGAGGTGCTCTACATCTCTGCCTGCACTAAACTATGTATATGTATATGTATAAATTAAGCGAAAATTAACATTAATATTAGTCAGTGAACAATTCGTGTTAAAAATAAACGTTTTGGATAAAAAATGAAACGGTTGGAGTGTGTTTATCGTGGGAGTATGGGGCCAAGGCTAGGCGGCGATTAAAGCGATTCCTTATAGTATATAAAGTGTGATTGTTGGTTAACGATTAGTTGGAAGGATTGTGCTTCATGGAGTGTGTGGGTGTGTTTGTTATGTATACATTACATTAACATATTGCCTATCTCGACTTCGATTCAATTTCAGTTTTGCGTTTGTGTTTACTCTTTGAGAACGGTTAGTCTTTTATAATTCCAACGGCCTCCGGTTCAATATATATATGTAAATATATAATTGTATCGTATATGCAAAATGTTATATATAAAATATGTTCAATTTATCCGTTCGGCTTGGATCGGTACGGTTCTCACTTTAAAAGCTTAAGGCTATTCAAAAATATATTCCTACAATTGCTAGCCATATTCTTGGGCAACGCCATCATGACGAGCCGAACTCCTTCATCCACTTCTCGTATTTGTCCAGGTCCGCCCGGGACACGCTCTTGTTGCAGCGACTCATGGCCTCGTTGAAGTCCTTGTTGGACACGGGCAGGTCCACCTCCTCAGTAGCCAACTGTCGGATCTGCTCTGGGGTGAGACCGGCGATCTTTCGCCTCATCGACATCATACTGGCTTCCCTGGAAAAACAAAGAGACGCACTTAGTATATAAAATAGCTCGATCATTGAGAGCCTGGTAAACCCACCTGCACACGTTTGTGATATCAGCTCCAGAATATCCCTTTAGCTCGTTGGCGACGTAGGTGAGATCAACACTATCGTCCACCTTGACCTCGCGCAGGTTGATCTTTAACAACGCCTCACGCCCTTCGTCCGATGGCAGTGGGATGTAAATGCGCTTTTCCAACCGGCGTCGCAGCGCCTCATCGATATCCCAAGGAAAGTTAGTGGCGGCCAGCACCATCACCACCTTGGCCTGTTCTTCTCCGCCACCCACGCCATCCATTTGGACCAGAAGCTCCGACTTGACTCGACGCGAGGCCTCGTGTTCCGATTCTGATCCTCTACGCGAGCACAGGGAGTCGATCTCGTCGATGAAGATTGTGCTGGGCGCATAGAATCGTGCCATCTCGAAAAGCAGACGCACCATCTTCTCTGATTCACCGCGATACTTGGATGTGAGTGTGGCCGAGCTGACGTTGAAGAAGGTCGTCCCGCACTCCGTTGCCACCGCTTTGGCAAGCATTGTCTTTCCGGTGCCGGGTGGTCCCACCATTAGCACACCCTTCCACGGTCGTCGTATACCCTGTTTGATATTGGAAATAAATTTGTCCATTAAATCGATTTACATGTCTTAAAGAGGTAAATTTGTCTTAGGACCCATCTATAAAATTCTACCTAGGAAAGTTGGATTTGTTTTTTTATTCAAGAAGGGGCTTAAACAATAAATGTGTGCGATAAGGAATAAAGATTATTTGTTTGGTGCCTCATCTTTAACTTCCCCAAACTTTATATTAAAGTCACATGTATTATGTCAAAAATGTCGACCCTAAGTGAGTTTCAGGTTTTTGATCGCATGCGGTTAATATCGATTATGAACTATTGTGACAATTCTACCCCCAAGGTGCAAAAATAACAAACCAAAAAACTATAATATGGTAACTGTATATTATTTACTGGACCCCAGAAAGTAATCAGTCTCTCAAATGATTAAATAAACAGTAAATTGACAGTCCCATTATGGATTGATATTAATATGGCCGCAAACATATTCAGATAAGATAAAAACATAGAAATGAATTCATAATCAACCGAGTTTTAACAATGGAAAATTGTAGGCGTAATAATGAAGACCCTTCAAATTGCTCTGACTAATAACAGAATGACTGACAAAGGATTTACTCGTTGACATCAATAATAAAAGTAGCACCTAGTTAAGAGTGATAAAGCAGTTGTAGCATCTCAGACAGTTGATCAAATATACAGTGCCCTGAGACCAGCAAGCGTAGCACTGAAATATGGCCCGTTTGTTGACCCAACACCAGCCGTAGATAAGCCTTCGGCAAAAGGTGATTCAGCACAAGCAAACAGAGGCAGTGACGCACCTTAAAGTAGTCCGGCATAAGCATCGGCAGCACAACGGCCTCCTCCAGCAGCCTCTTGGCGTCGTGCAGGTCGGCAATATCACTCCAGCGCACTTTTGGATCCTTTTGAAGAATATCACGTTCTGAAAAGGAAGAGTTGTTTTTTTAATTGGTTTATTGTCTTTATTAAATTATTTTTAAAGTTAAATTAAATTATTGCCGATATACATTTAGTCGCCACTGTTTATAGCAATGCATTTTCCTTTTTATTACATTGTTAAGATATAAGAACGTGTCGTGTCGTATACAGATAGTTAGATAAAGAATATATATTTTTTTACTGTATACGTATAACCGGAAACGTTTACTTCTTGTTAAATACTTCTAAATGAGTGTACGAGAAGGCCTCAAACAACTGTTTTAAGTCTGAAAACTTGCTCTTCAAATACTATGTACTTTATAGAACGAATCATGTCTTGAAAATCATTACAGATTTTAAGGAAAACTCTTTTCGCTCACTTTTGTTATACGATTATCAAAATTATACGAAAAGAATATTTTCACTCACCAAGAATGTCGACTAGCTCGGCTTCGATGTGGTTGTTCGGTTGGAACTTGCGCTCTTCCTCCTGGGAGGCCTGCTGATCGCCGTTCTCTCCCTCGCCAGCGCCTCCTCCACCATTGCTGCCTGCAGCGGTGGAGTCGTCGTCCCTAGCCTCGTTGATGTTGTTCGACGTCGACAGCTTGCGTCCTCCCGCTCGCCCGTTGGTCATGCGGCTTCCACTGTTCTGTGCTGCAGCCGATGTCGAGTTTCGGGAATTGCGTGTCGAGGCCGGACCATTCCGGGCAGTGCTCTGTGGTATTGTGCTGCTGGGGCGGCTGCTCTGATTTGCCGTAGTGGTGCGGCGGTTGTTCGGTGCGGTTCGTCGGCCAACGGCCTGTGTGGTAGGTGGCGGTTTTGGCGGACCCCATACATCGGGATCCTTGGGCGGAGGTGTCCAGATATCCGGGTCCGGTTTAAACCACGCGGATGGATCTTTACTGGTGGTGCTCTCTTCGCTGAGCTGATGACGAAGTTTGTGGGCGAATTTGGTGCTTTGCAGGTCCAACGAGATGTCTTGAAGGGTTCTCTGAATAGCCTTGATCTTCGTATGCTCCTGACTTATTTGCTGGTTGATCTGTAAAATATTGGAAATTTAGTAAAACGTTAGGAGAGCAAGAGGTTCATATAGAATGTCCTAAAAAACTCTTTTAATTACACTTTATAAATAAATTACATTTAAGAAAGAGCGCAAAGTTATAGTTTTGAGTTTTTGGATAGCATGTCTAGTGAAATTATAAGTATTTAAGATCTCTATTTCAGCCTATTCAACCCCTGACCATTGCCTTAGGCAAACGATAGTAATGCCTGTTGCTAGAATTTGGCCTTCTTAAATTTTATAATCTGTCTTAGAAACGAAGAGGCCAAACGGGTTTAACTTTGTTTTCTAGAGTTTGAGAAATTTAAACCTGTTAATTACAAGTGCTTTCTTTCGCGATTAAGATCTATGCATATACGAGTATGTACATGTCTAATTTTCGCCGTCGGCAATGGACAGTATTTGTTGATAAGAATGGGAATCTTATCATAGTTTGGACTACGTAATTTCAGGGTTCAGCTAGATGCCGTGCCGTGATGCCGTGTTTAATAGTTATTTTTCAAGTAAATATGAGTATATAAATATTCAAGTACAAGATATACCGATATTGATTAAGTTCTTCTGAATCATTATACAAGATATCATAATATGATATAATTTTCGGGATGTATAAAAGATTGTACGTATGCGCTTAACTCTGACAAAATTAAATCTATTTTTAGAATCTACCGTTACCATTTTCTGTGATTGTTTGGGGAGAATTCAAATGTATAAGTGATGATACTAATGGACAGAATCTTACCATGCTCCACTTGCCCTTGCGTAGGGGATCCGCGGTGGCCTTAAGCTGGCGGGCAAGCAGACCTTGGAGGCCCTCATAGTAGATGCAGGCCGAGTCGTAGTTGCCCGTCAGAGCCATGTCCCGCGCTAATTTGGCATTCTCGCATATTTCTTCGAACGTAGTCTTGGCCATTACGGTCATTCCTACGCAAGTGGTTGTCTTTTGCTTGCCACCTCGCAGTAACTATTGGATCGGAAGATCGGAACAGGTTGTCGTCATTGTGGCCAAAAACCAAAAGCCAAAAACAAAAAAACGAGAGACAGAGATTAATTCCAATTAAAGCGTTCGAGTGCGTGCGCAAGTTTCTCTAAGTGTTTTCTAGGTGGGAAGAAGGGGAGCAACAATAGAACGGAAGCGACTTTGTCACTCGCTCGCCTTGCAGGTAAAAATGGAAAGTGAGCCTCACAACAAATGCAAAAAAAATTGGGAAAACCAGGCGACGATTGCAAATAATAGAAGATAGCAGTGGCAACGACCCAGGAGCGCGGCTAATTATAAATTTTAAAGCGCACAGCCGCCGAGTTGTCACCAAATTTAAACGCAACGCGCTCCCATTTTCAATTCCGCTTCCAAGGCGGGACGTGGGCCAAAATGCCGATTGGAAAATGTATTAAATTATTATGAGCCAAATAAGGCGGCCGACCTTGTTGGCTTTGAATAATTCTTTCAACTCGAATCGTCGTATGCAAAAACACAAAAAAAAATTAAACAACAACAAAATTAACGCTCGCACACAAACACACGCACGCAGAGCTCAGGTTTCAGCGGCACTCACACACGGGCGCACAATGGGACAAATTAATGCGTTTTAAATAGATTTCGAGTTAATTGCGAGTCTTTGGAGACTGCAAACTGCACTTAGCATTCGGCACTCGACCACATTTTCATTTTTTTTCCTACTTTTTTTATTTCCAGCTACGTGGGGGCGTCTGCAGCTGCGACAACAACAACACTGACAACTCGCAGCCGCATCCACTACATCAATAACTGCGCGAACCGCACGAAAGACGACTTACGGTTATGGACATTAGTGTACTAGCTTTGTAACGCGGCGTTCCAAGCGCAAAATTAATGCGAAACTTATTTAGTTTAGAGTTTATTTGGAGCTAAAATAAACTGCTGCCAGCCTGTGTTTGTAATACTAGTGATGTGTGTAGGCTGGTGACCAGCCGTTCATCGATATATCGGATGGCGGAACACCCTGTTGCGTTTTGGAAGTGCAACAGTCGGATTGTTATCGATAGTTCCCAGGGATGTGTAAACAAATTAGATTTAAAAATGTACTTCTCAGACGGAACCTGTAATTTTTAATTACTTTCTCATCTCTCTGTTTTCCTATTCGTTTATTATTCGTTTTATATAATTGGTAGTTAAGATAAACAATGTCCACAAATATTTTTAAAATATATTATTTTCACACTAAATACTCACAAATTTATAATTAAAACAATTCAAACCTAATATATATGTGGATTATTTAATTTTAAATAATTTTTATTGCAACATTGCAACAAAACCCTAAATTAAATAAATAATCTTAAGTAAAATACTGTGCATTATTCTCTCTATACAGCTAGATATATTGTTTATGCACGCTAGGTGCACGGTCTGGCAACACTTCGTTATAGATAAGGGCAGTGCGGCAAGTCATCGGTTATCGGTTCTTAACATTTCGGCTTAACGTGCTTAAAACATATATTAAATTTAGATACCACGCAAGCGACGGTACCCAAAATGACGACGCCCACGCGTGCCTCTCTGGAGAAAGCTCTGAAGAGCGATGAAAAGATCCTGAAGGCCGCCACCCAAATAGCCAAAGGCAAGTTTCCACCCGCATCGCTGGGAGATCGACTTTTCTCACAGAGATTCCTTTGTTTCCTTTAGATTTGGCCTCTAAAGCGTACGACATATCCGTCCTAGCCGAGGAGCTGGGCTTTGCGTTGTCCTCGCCGGACATGGAGGAGAGAGTGGCCGGGACCAACCTGTTGTCCGCCGTTTTGGTGGCCCTGCCGCAGGACCTTCTCCACGAGCCCCAGCTTGTGTTCCTCAGCACATTTTACATGGACCGGCTTCGCGACCACCACAACGTGATGCCAGCCATCATTGACGGCATCGATGCCTTGGTACACATGAAGGCACTGCCACGCGCCCAGGTTCCCCTGATCCTGCAGTCTTTCTTCGAGCACACTACCTGCCAGTCCCAGACGAGGGGCGACCGCACCAAGCTGTTCAACATCTTCCAGTACCTGACGATTAACTTTAAAGATGGTAAGCCTCCGCTTCTTCTTGGCACTGGGGAACGCTGTTGTTTTTAATACTGACTTTTGCTTGTTTTGGCATTATTTGTCATTTGAAAGGGTACCGCAAATGAATTGATTTCCCAAACTTAAAGTTATATTACTAAACTATTATGAATGAATGATATAGAAATTTTCAAGAATCTCTTCTAAAGAATCTCTTCTAAAATATGCAAATTTAAAATGCTGATAAGCAATGCTCCTTTCTGATTAAACCAAAAATAATTAGTTAACCATTTATTTTGATAAAAATTGTTCATTACGAAGAAATTATCTTTAGAACCAACAAAATTTTACCCTGCAATGATAAATAAAGCTTTTAAACTGAGCGATAAATCACCTGAAAGCGACATACATTTTTAGGAATTACTTTATCGAATAGCTTAGTAATGCTGTCCAATTATATAAAGTAGGTTAGAGTTACAATGATTTTCTGTGTTGTAAAGTATGTAAGAAACTTATACAAAATCAAATTTATTAATGTTTTTAGAGCTCCAGACGATGGCCGGCGACTTTGTCTACGGCCTGATCAATTCGATTGACGGCGAGCGTGACCCCCGCAACCTCGACATCATTTTCAGTTTCATGCCCGAGTTTTTGTCTACGTATCCTCTGCTTCACTTGGCTGAAGAGATGTTCGAGATTTTTGCTTGTTACTTTCCAATCGACTTTAATCCCAGCAAGCAGGATCCAGCGGCCATAACTCGGGATGACTTGGCCGTGAAATTGACTAACTGCCTAGTGGCCAACAACGACTTTGCAGAGGATACAGTAGTGCTGGCCATAGAAAAACTAGAGAGTGAATTGCTGGTAGCCAAACTGGACTCCATAGAATTGCTGGTAAGAAAAACGATCATTTTAAATAGCCTTCTCCTCACAATGGTCATTTTTCCAACAGCACCAAGCTGCTATTAAGTTTCCACCCTCTGTTTTGGAGCCGCATTTCGAACAAATTTGGCAGGCTCTAAAAACAGAAACTTTTCCCGGAAATGACAACGAGGAAATCTTAAAGGCCTCGCTTAAGGCTTTGTCTGCTCTCCTGGAAAGAGCTTCGCATTTACCCGATATAAGCCACAGTTACCAAAGCTCTATTTTGGGAGTAATCCTGCCTCACCTAAGCGACGTCAATCAGCGTCTCTTTCATCCGGCCACCGGAATTGCCTTGGTTTGTGTGTCGGGTGATGCGCCCTACGCCGCAGACAAGATCCTCAACAGCTTTCTGCTCAAGCTTCAGGCCACAGACGCAGGGCCTGAACAAAGGATAAAGATTTACCACATAGTAAGCCAGGTGTATAAGCTTTCCGCATTGCGAGATTCTTTGCAAAAACTTGACACCACGATACGAGAGTCGCTTCAGGACGATGTGATCGCTTCTCTGCGACTAATCGAACAGGATGATTTCGATGCCAAACAGGAGAACTTGGAGCTGCAGAAGGCGGCACTTTCTGTGCTCAACGAAAGTGCTCCGGTCCTAAGCGAAAAACAGCGCGCTTTAGTTTACAAAGCCCTGGTTCAGCTCATCAGCCATCCGTCCATCGACCTGGATTTCACCACACTTACGGTCAGCCTCGGAGCTCTGCAACCGGTGGAAGTACAATCAAACTTCATCGACGTCTGCGTCCGCAACTTCGAAATCTTTTCAAACTTTGTCAAGCGGAAGATATATTCGAATTTGCTTCCCCTTCTGCCCCAAATGGCATTTACTCAACGCATTTTGGATTTGGTGTTGACGCAATCCTTTAAAGATACAACGGCAGAGCCTGTTCGTTTGCTGGCTCTAGATGCGTTAAACAAACTGCTCTTAATGGAGGATCAGAGGTTTATCGTGGACTTACAGCAGGAGTCCAATCTGCTGCACAAGCTCATTGAGCTGAGTCACACTGAGGGTCTGACACTGCAGTCGCTCGAGCAGATAGCAGGCGCTTTGAGTCGTATCACCCAGCAACTCCCCCTCTCCGAACAGAGCGCGATAGTTAGCGAGTACCTTCCTGGTCTCAACCTTAATCACTCTGCGGATTTGTACGTTACTAAAGGTCTTCTCGGCTACTTGCATAAAGATATAACGCTGGATGATCATTTCGAGCGCCTTCTGACCGACTTAACGCAGCTGTCTCTCAACACGGAAAACGAACAGTTGCGCGTTGTCGCCCACCACCTGCTTTGCAGTATGGTCAACAAGATGGAGAGCAATCCAGCCAACTTGGGCAAGGTCAAGAAGATTACGGAACAGCTCAAGGTGGCCATAAAAAAGGGCGATGTGCGGGCGGTGGAGATCCTCGCCTGGGTAGCTAAGGGTCTGGTGGTCGCGGGATTCGATGAGGCTGCCGATATTGTTGGCGATGTAAGTGGTGACAAATTGTATTTTGATTCTTTAGATATTTAACCCCATTTATATTTAGCTCTCTGATCTGCTGAAGCATCCGAGTTTGAGTACCGCAGCTGCTTTGGGATTCGACATTATTGCCGCTGAGTATCCGGAACTGGATTTGCCCGTAGTTAAGTTCCTCTATAAGCAGAAGCTTTTCCATACAATCATGGGAAAGATGGGCAACAAGCTGGCGAACTACTGTGTGCACCACCTAAAGGCTTTCGTATACGTACTCAAAGCCACGCCACAGGCAGTGATCAAGCTAAACATTGAGCAGCTAGGACCGCTGCTTTTCAAGAGCCTCGAGGAGCACAATGAGGCTCAATCGCTGTGCATTGCACTGGGCATCTGTGAAAAGTTTGTGGCCCAACAGGACGCTTATTTCCAGGGGCACTTGGCTCATCTCATACCCAGCTGTCTGGAGCTGTCAAAATACAAGGCCCAGCACACCATGGTGAGTGGCTTCAAGGCCTAAAATCTTCTATGGACGCATCAATTAATATGTAATTTCTTTGTCTTACAGCAAGTTCGCATTGCGGCACTTCAGTTGCTATACGACATAACCAAGTATCCCACCTTCGTCCTGTTGCCCCACAAAGTAGATGTGACTCTGGCCTTGGCCGCCGCCTTGGATGATCCCAAGCGACTGGTTCGGAACACGGCGGTCAAAGCCAGAAATGCCTGGTACCTGATCGGATCAGCTAATGAGAATTAGCAGTGGAACAATAATATTTTTGTTGATACTATAAAGCCAATAAGCGAACGCACAAATTTTAGGATTCATAATTTTATTGTTGTTTTTATGGTTTACGGAAGAATCTTAAAGGCGGCTAGCAAATTTAAACGATAGTAGTAATATTGATTTAGACTCTAAACAAATAAGGCTTAAAAATTATATAATAAACGCTATATATCAGATTTTTAAGTTTTGTACAGTTAGGCTGTAAATTTTCTTTATTCTGGTACTATTAGATGAAAACCACGACCTTTTGGAGCTATGATCTAGCTATATGTAGACATAGTAATTTGTATTTAAAATTTCATAACCGCTGGTAGACTCAAGCAAGAACTTAGTGGAGTTGAATCTTGTAGACATATGCTGTATGCTTTTGTGTTTTATTTTTCAAGTTACCAAATTTCTATAGATACATTTAAATAACTTTCTTTGTTAATACTTAGAGCAGGTAGGTAAGAATGTTTTATTTTCCTTTGATACATTTGGACATTTTAAATTCTTTTAAATTCATTTTGGTTGACACAACAGATCTGACGCCACCAATCAGTAGGGGTGCTCGCACTGGGAACGGGCCATAAGAGCGCACTTTTGAGCCCGTTGAACCACCTCGGGACATCGACGCCGCCTCATGAATCGGCAGTCTTGAAAGAAGCCTTCGTTTCTGGGGAATCCGTGTGTGAAGTCTTGGAACGTCAGCAGTCCCAGGCCCCAGATTTTTCCACCTCGAAACTCACCCTCATACTTCATTCCATCAGCGCGCCAGAAGATTCCATTGCCATGAAACCAGCCCTGGTGAAACTCACCTTCGTATCTGGCTTAAAAATAATATTCTATATAGATATTATTCCGATTGGAAGGATGCAAACCAACTTTTGAATATTCGAAAGGAAAAGCCACGGAAACTGAACTTTTCTGTATAACATAAATAGTTCTGGCAAAATACCAAAGATTTGAATATAATATACAACTTTATAGAATTTTGATCAGATCAAAAGGTGGATTTTTGTAGGTTTGCATCCTTGATACTATTAAACTGACTTCGCGCCATCCGCGAACCAAAGGCAGCCTACTCCTTGGCTGAGACCCTCCTGAAACTGGCCATCGTAGCGGGTGCCGTCTGCAAACTGAAGGTGTCCGATGCCGTGCTTTTGGCCACGCTGATTCCACTCGCCAATGTAGCGGCTGGCGTCCTCGTATCGCCATCCTCCCACTTTCACCGCCCCGGCGCTGTACTGGCTCTGTCCATGTCCCTGTTGGTGGTATCCATGCTGACCTTGCTGGCCATGCTGCTGCTGATGTTGATTCTCTATTCGGGCTGTGGTAACGCCCACGCTGCTCACTGGGAGAGTCGAATTTTACGGTCTGTATCCTTTCATCCAGGACACACTTACTGTCATCATCGTAGTCGTCCATGGCCATCTCTCCGTTCACCGCCAGCTATGCAATTCAAGCTGCTACTGAGCTTTGCCTGTTCTGGACTAGAGACCCACACTTTGTGTGGCTTCCAACTGGCCGACGGCCCTGGTCTAAATCTAATTAGCATATTGCAGTTCTGCACAGTGAGGTTGGGTTAAAGAACCAATGATAGGTTACCGAAAAGGAAGTGATTATTAGAACTTTTTATGAATTGATAAGCCATAAGCCATACACATTTGTAATCCAATTGTAGTAATATTTTCCTTTTTATTATTTTCTAAAAATAATCACTTGTTACTGCTTCTTTAACCCACTGTTCAGGACCAACTGTTGCTGCCACCAAGGCTGGCATCGATTTTAAAATATAATATCCCCTGGGTCAGTGATAAGTAGCTGGTAAGATTTAATTCTTGTACAATTTATTGTTATTTCAATTGAAAGCAGAATATGTGGATGCAGACTTTTTCGTGAGATTACAGATGTCCGAAATGATTATACTGTATTTGCGAAGCTCTAAAACTTAACGACTTCCTGGTTTCGTCGGTTGAGAACATTTCAACAGAATTGTACACAAAGTTATTGGCTGAAGTATTAACCTAGATATAGTCGTATGTATGTATATAAGATGGACTTAAATGAAGTCTAGGCGAGCACAGCTGAAGTGGCCATCTCGCTGACGCCGCAGGTGTTGTCACCACGATAAACGCGATAATAGCCCTGCTCTCCCCAGCGTGGACCCCATGAGTTCTTCACTATCCAGTAGGGAAGGGTCTTGTGGAAGTTGGGATAGTCGGAGACGCCATAGCCCACTACCAGTACACCGTGGTCTAGGTTTTTCTTAGAGCACAAGGCCTTCCAGGGATGTGAAACGCCTCCACGATAGAACTGCATAGCGTTGGCATTAATGCCTGGAAAGATATCGATTGATTAGAGTGGACTTAAATGTTTCCTTTTAAATTTGCCTTACCAATCGATATGGGTCCATTAGTGAGCAGCCACTCCTGCATGGCGGTTTCGTTGCCCTTGGGCAGATCCACAAATCCGGATAGCTGGACATGAGACAAGGTCTTGTTGAAGTGGCACTGATTCTTCTTACCCTTGTATGGGTACTCAGCTTCGTACTCCAGGCCGCCAATATCCTTAATGGCTCTGTGGAAGGAATATTCGTTAAATTCTGTTAGTATTATGTCTTCCACTCACTTGTAGGCATTGTCCATGAGGCCACCGTTGCAGGCACTATCCGTGGTATCACAGTCGAGCAGCTCCTGCTCGGAGAACTCCTTTAGTTCTCCGTTTTTCACGGCGTACAGGCCTTCGATATTGCCCGTCACACTGAAGGCCCAACATGAGCCGCACGATCCCTGGTTCTTGACCTCGGTGACAGCATTTTTCTGCCTCCAGTCGAACTCCTTAGGCAGCTCACCGGGGTATGACGGCACTACAGCCGCCGAACCGCCGGTGGCCTTTGCCTCATCACGCTGCCACAGTCCAGTGCGTTCCTTGTACTCCGAGCTAGTCATGTCCGCAAACTCCGTGATTCCGTATTTGGCACTTCCCATTTCGTTGGCGTTAAGTTCCTGGATGGTCTTCAGGTTTTGCCGGAAGATTCGCAGGCGCATCTGGCGTTCGGCGGTGCTCACGTAACGGCGGCCAAATCGTACCTGGAACTTATGGAACAGATGATCCACCTTGTCCAGAGAGCGATGACTGTGCTTCTTATGCGTCTTCTTCTCGGCCCACTCCACGGACCGGCTGTGACGAGCATAAACCGGCGCCTGGTTGCGGCACTTAAAGGTGAGTTCGTGTTCTTCTGTCCTCACCCAGGCCTTCGTCCAAATATCCACGATGCAGCGGTGCTTGGTGCCCGAGCCATCGATTAGATCCGCGTCAATGCGGGTCAAGTTGCCAGAAACTACTTGTCTTGAAGCTGAGTAAACCTTCGCGATTCTAAAAGAGAGAGAAAAGTATAAGAATTGGTAAGTCTTTAGTAAAATTATTGATATTTAACCTTTTTACATTTTAAATTGGAAATTATAAAAACAGAAATATTTTAAATTGGGATAAGTGTAAGTGATATTGGATAAGTGTAAAAATTTAGAGTAAAGAATAAGTTAGGAAAGCTTTAATGCTTATTATTGCTTACTTGTAATGAGGGCCTTCTGATGTAAGTTTGTTAAGCGACTCTTGCAGTTGCGCCTTTGCCGCCGCCTCATTATAAGCCTTGTGTCCACCCAAGATGTCGTTGGCACTGCGTCTGCTGCGATGAACCTGCAAGATAAATAAATATGAATATGACAGAAAACCGGCTAAATATAGTTTTTAAAATTATCCCAAGTTATCCCTCTACATCTTTTTTGACTTTATTTTGATTTAGATTAGATATGTACCTTCCTTGTACACTTTCAACTGTTACATATTTTTTAAGGAATGCAATATGGTATGGCTAAGGAAGAAATCTACATGAAGCACTCGAGATTCTTTTAACTTAAGAGGATTTAATATTTTAAGATATTATTTATATGCAAAGGACCTCCAGCTTCCATCTCTAAAATATTTATTTTGACATTTTGGAGCAACTTTATAATAATTTCGATACCAATATTGCTTAATTTTAAATTCGCAAAAATACAGCGATGAACGCGAACTAATTTTTAAAAATAAAATTTTTTCATAAACCAAGTTTGACAGATTTTCGGAGCCGTTCCTTGGATTTCAAAGGTTTCTATTGCCCGGTCAGGTGGAGTATCCACTTCGTTGACAATTCGGTGATTTTGTCTCCTCGAAAGAGTCTCCCTCGTTTCATTTTTGAACTCCCTAAGCGTGGACAGCGAAATCCTCCAAAAAGCGAAAAAAACTAACTTAAGGATATAGGACATGTTAAAGCGCACAACCAGATCGGAGAACGGGAGTTAAGCCTTGAGGAATCAGAATCCGCACTCATACGGCAGAATGTAGTCGTCGAGCAAGCGCACACGGCGGAGTCTTCCTTCAGAGTCGACGCCCACGTTTCCGCCGCTGGCTGCCACCTGCTGCTCAACCTTGAGCTCCTCCTCCCCCCTCTTCTGCACCTCATGACGCTGCACCACCAACATACCAGCAGCTATAGCCGCCTCTTGGCGCAACCAACCGGACATGATCCAGATGCGGCGAATGCAGGTCGTCAGCGCGAATTGTTTCATCGTGGAAAGACTCTCTGCAGAAAGGATATCTTAATTCGGAAACCATTTTCAAAAGGTATTACCCCTTTCCGCACCTTAAAAAATATTAGAAAAAGTATTTGGTTTTGAGGGTTCAGTTCGAGTTTACCGAGTGATGTCAACTGAAATTTAAAGTTCAAGTCAGGCGATAATGACAACTTTGTTTCAGACCTACTTGGATCTCGTTTTTAAATATATTTTTGTGGGACATTCTAGCTCCAAAGGAAGTTCTTTTTATACCGCTTACTAAGGTGAACAAATTCCTGATTTTTCCATATAAACGTCGATATCTAGAGAACTGAGTTTGGACTGAGATTTGAAAGATATTCTTTCAAAAATATAGTTTCCGCAACAGATGGCGCCAATAGATTGGCACATGGCGACATCTGCTGGTAACAATAATTTCTTTAAAAATTTGTCCAAACATTTTAACCTTTTAAAGGTATAAAACTGGCTTTTAGATTACTATTAATATTAGAAATCTTATATGTCTATAAAGGTTCTAACATTTTATCATAGATATCATAGTTATCATAGATTATTTTTCCCCAGAGAAGTAATCTTTAGTTATTTATTTAAGAATTAGAAGGATAAGCAGAGATTTCACCAATTTTATACAATATCCCTGACAAAAGCGCCCTTTGGAGCATGCCAAAAGTCAAACCAAATAAGCCCTTTGTTTGGTGCCTGAGAGTTCGTTAATCTCGTGCTAATTACGCAACACGGAAACACTTATCCATTACAAACAGACACGCAGCTGTCACCACATCAGACCTCCGACCCTAAAAAGTGAGGAAATGTGACGGGAGTTCTGCGGGAATGGCACATAAATTACATACGAATGCAAATGAAACAAGGACATGTCTGAATTTACATTACCGAAATTGACAGAACGACACAGACGTACTGTACACGTGGCTAGAAGAGTTGCGACAAGAAACATGAAGGCCCAAAAGGCATCTCCCCTCCATCTCTGCACATCTCCAGTTGTGGAATAGGACAACAATAACACCGACAGACACATGCGGCCCATAAACCATTCAATGCCGAACACAAAACCAATTAAACCAAACATTTTGGCTGGATACTCGTTTGCCGGCTGGCATCGATGATGGTGATATGTTGATGCCGTTGATGGGAGTTGGTTTCTGAGGATCCGGGGCCGCAGCCACAGCCACAGCCAGGAGCCGAATGTCTGCTCCTGCTGACGCAGCCAGGCAACTGACATGGCGAATGCGAATGGGGACTGCAGGTGGAGTCACGCTCAAAACATTTGATGGCCTAAAAGGCTCGAAAAGAACATTCGTTGGTAAAAGAGTGGGAAAATATTTTTCCTACACATTTGATTTAGCTTCCAAAGCCTTGATACAAACCATTTATATATTGAAAATATATATATATGTGTGAAATATATAGACAATTTGACTATTGGATATGGGCTAGTAAGGAAATACCATAAATGGTTCTGGTAGAATTCAGTGGGTTCACTCAGAAGATTATTGCCTTACTATGTATGGAGATGTCTTAAGTTTTTATCGCTGATCTACGGATGACTGTTTATAAACGGCTGAATTAACAGTTTCCAGTTTTAAAAGGTCACTAGTTAGTTGAGATCAAACTTAGGCTATAACTATTTTCCGAGTGCAGGTCATCTAGATGCGACAACAATACCGAATGGAATGTAATGGTTGCGACGTGTGTATAATTAAAAATACAGGAACACAAAAAGAAGGAGCAACCGAGCCGTGTGTCGATGGGAGTCCCATGCCATCCGATTCGATGTGTGCAGCCTGTGTCCGAACATGAATTCATTAAGCTGCCTGCCCAGCAGTTCCTTTTCCAGCCTGGCTCCTGCTGGCCTGGTTGGCCTGGCCTACAATCCAACCCGCACCCAGCCCATCCCAGCACCGAAGCGGGAGCTGTTAATTCAAATGTGTATTTCAATAAGAATTATAACGTAAATGATGTTTCAACGACCCTGGGGGCACAGTGGGCTAGGCAATGATGTGGGTGGCTTCCCTATGTGGGAATGATCAGAAGTGGGATTGGAGGAGTGTGCAATGGCCTGTGAAATCCATTTGGATATATTGACAGTCAAGTGCCGAACGCGACTCTATACTTTGTGATAGTTGGCGTAAATCAGGAATGCAACTGAATGGTTCTCATTTTCAAAGCACTTAATTAATTTATTCCGCGATGACTTTTCCAAGAGCTCATTAGGCACTCATATGGGTTGGAAATAATGTTGGAAAGAGGTTTCCGATTGTTGAACATGTCCAGCACAGATTCAATCGAATTATTATTTCAATTCAAATTTCATTTATCCACCGATGTGTGGACTTAAACTCTGTAATTAATAGTTTTATTTATTAGAAGTGAAGAGCTACTGCAGTAATGATATTCGTATATCTAATTTTTCGTCAGTTTACAACGATTACAATAACATTTTGTGAAACGGGGTTTAAAGTCGAATAAATCAATTTCATTTAATATAAAACCCCAAGCAAAGGCCACTGATTTTTTTAATATTTTGTAAGAAACAAAGCAATGTAGGAGGAGATATGCCCTATCAAGGGACTGAAATTTAAATTGCTTTTACACATTAAACGCAATCTTCAAAGTAGCGTTCCAGCCATTAAAATTGCAGATTCTGTCGTTGATTATTTAACCCCTTATGTTCTCTGGGTTAAGTCGGGTGGAAAGTGCCCACCCCAAGAGACAAATCGCCTTCGACCCACTGTGCGTGGCACCACAGAGCCAACCGCTGTAAAAATTAGAGCACGAGGATAATGAGAACACTTGCCTCGCACTCTGTGTGTTTCTGCTGCTGCTTCTGTCGACACCGTGGGCACTGCACGGCGAGCTGGAGGGGCAGCATCCCACACCCCACCCACTTAACCTCTCATATATAGCGGCACTTGGGATCCCCCAAGACATATAGACAGGCGCAGATGGCCCCTCCCCAGGTGCTAGGAATACGGCTAAGATACGGCCGGGTTAAACAGATTGCGGCCGTAATTTGAGAGCGGAAACTCATTTGATTATTAAGGTGAAATAAGTGTTTTGCGGGGGTGCTAAAACGAGAAATCCGGGCGAAACCATTCACCCACCCAATCCCTATCATCACATCACCATTTTCATCATCATCATCATCATCATCATCGGCATCAGGTGAAAAGGCAAGCTTAAATAAATTCAATTAAATAACATTTTCCTTTTTTATTGTTCGCATTAAGGTGAGTATGTATAAAGAGTATTTATGTGTGAAAGACAGAGACAGTGAATGATGGGTGTGGGTGAGTGGTTGTGTGTGTGTGATTCGGATGATAATGAGGATATTCATGATGAAGCAGTTGGTATAGTAGTAGCCTCCACCTCAGGGTCCTTCTGCTCCCGAACGGTCTCCTCCTGCTGCTGCTCCTTTTCCTGGCTCTTTTCGAAATTATACGCACCCACCGATAGGAAATCGTCGAGCCAACGCTTCTCATTATCGTTCAGCTCAGTGGCGATTGTGGTGGAGGTTACAGCCTCCTCTTCGTGCTTGTCCTCCTCCACCTCTTCCGCCTTTTTTTCCGCCTCATCAATGCTAATTGCCGTGGCGGTCTCATTAGTGGCTTCAGGTGGACCTAACTGGACGACTGTTATGGCAACAGGAGCCAAGGTATCACTAGGAGCAGCTGCAGCAGGAGGGGACGCAACAGTTGGAACGGATTTGGTCAGGCTGACCTTCCGCTTCATGGGCCCAAGGTTAGTAATGATCTGGGACTCCAGATTGGCCATCTCTGCGTCGCTCAGCTCGTTCCTTTGACCGCCATTGAAGATGTTATTACTCACGTATTTTTCGTTCAGCAGACGTGCTTTCTCTCCTGGATCTCCGTTCACCGAGTTCTCCGCCGTGTCGGTGCAATTGGAGGTGATCAATTCGCGGTATTTGTCACACCACTGAGTGCGCAGCCAGGGCTTCTCCAAGATAACCAACCGACAGATTAGGTCTGCGTCCTCCGGCCGCTTCGCCTTCGTGTCGAACGCATTTAGCAGGATCTCGTACCGCACTCCGGCGTCGATTTCCCGATAGGCATCGATGATATTTAGGAAGTTCATCGACAGGGGCAGAAAGGTCATGGCTATGTTCTGGACCCCAATCAGGTTGGGGGACAGATACTCCCGCTCTCCGGGATTCAGTACATGGACCAGCTTGATCGGTGGCTCACTCACCGCTTGATCCGTAGTCGTTTCCGGAGTTTCCGTGCTCTGTTTATTCAGGTTTCGGGATTTTCCAACGGATTTGGGTGTTTGGGAATTGGTGTGTTGTGTTGAGGGAAAGACGAAACAAAAAGCAAAACACATATAAGGATACACACAAAGAGATTTCGGTTGGAATTATGACATGGTGATCCGGATGCCGTGTTCGGATAAGAGTGCGTTTATAGGGGCGTGCGTGAGTGATGTTCGGATGTGGCAAGCCAAGCCGTGTGGTGATTGTGTGATTAAGCGATGCAGTGTGACCAACAACTTTAAGCCTGTTGACCTACATGGTTAATCCCACAAATTATTTTTGCCAGTGGCATTATTTTCCGCTTTCTGGATTATGAATACGAATAACAGTCAAACACAATTAATTCGTCCAATGTCAGACACACACAAAAAGCCAACAAGGTTTTTTTTTTGTTAATTTATAAGCTGAACTTTCACCACTTGCACTCCAGTGTGAGCTTGATGTGAGTTGGATAACAGTATTTCAGTAATCTATTCCATGTCCGATGTGATATTAAAATTTTTATATGTTGTTAATCGCGAAACAGTTTAATCAGTTTAAAACACAGAAAATGTAGATTTATTATTCTGATTATGATTCCTTATTCCATCATATTCACATAATAGGCTAAGCAGTAATGTATTTATCTTTTTTAAACGTCCCATTAAACGATTACAAATTTATGGAACGCACTTTAAACTGGGTAGGGAGGAGGGACTTGTGGGTGGTTTGATATCACACCAGCGAGTGAGTAGGAAAATCCCCTTCATTTAAAATACAGCAAGGCATTGCGGGGCGGGGACTTAGGTTAATTATAAGTGAATGCATTGCAAGGCATAATGTCCGTGCCTCAAAGGCTCAGTTAATCGCTGTAACGCCCCCCTTATGCACCTGCTCGACTGACCGGGCCTAAAGCCTAATGAACTCCGCATAATTGCAACTGCAATTGCGGTCAAACTGCGGCATCGGATCGGGACATCAGATGACCAATCAAGTCAATCACTGGCCAACGCTTGACTGGGCTTTTCAGGCCACAAAAACTAATTAACCGCCGTAACGAAACTGAAACGAAACGATGCGAGCCACACCGAACCGGTTTGCGGAGCATTGCAGCAGCATCCATCGATAAATGATGAGACACAAATGCAAAAAGCCGATGACAGACAGTCAGTGGGACACAGAGATGGATCGACGGACGGACGACCGCAGACGGATTTTGCTGAATAATTTAAAAAATCGGAATCACAAAAAGGCAGTCAACTAGCTTCGAATGCAGCCAGTTTTGCTTCTGTTAGAGCACTAAGAGAATTTCGTAGTGCGTTCTTCTAAGAGTAGGAAGTTTTTAATTGAATGATTAAGGCAGGTCTTCAAAACGAACTTTGATTTAAATTAGTAAGTTAGGTAGAATTTTTAAATTGTGCGACAAAGAGAAATCCAAATACGTGGTCAAAACTATTAGGTAAGTGGGTAACATCTGTTAAGGAGAATTTCATAAAAATGATCTGATGTTCTTGAAAATCTGTAGCTGAAGACATCTAAGAGCGTACTCAACTTTGGTTGTATGCCAAACAAACAATATCCGAAACATAAATATTTTAGTTCAGTATGTCATTGCAGAGTTCAGTATTAGACAATAGATAACTCAACTGGAAAACTCCATATTTCGCGGAGTGTATGGCTGCTATTGCTGCTGATGCATTGCAGTTGACAGTGACTGCGGCCCACGGAGGATGAGGATAGGGTCATCGGGTAGTTTGGGGGAATGGAATACTTGGCGTCTTGTTGACGTTTTGGTCGTTCATCCTCATTGCCGCTGACGTCGTGACAAAAAGCCGAAAAATGCATAAAAACTTTTGACAGCGGTTGCGTCACTGCTAGCGACGTTGATGCCCGCCTGATGCTCAAGCTGATTATGTTGAGTGGGTGGTGGAAAATGGATGGAGATGGTTTGGAGAAGGAGCATTGGAGCATCGGAGCGGCCGGAGCTTGTTTTTCAATTAAACTTTATGGCATTTTAAACAACATAGCAAGCCATACCAAAACACGTTGATGGGATTTTAAGTTCTTCGCAACGCCCACTTGGTAGGTTCGCTCTAGTTGTCGTCCTGGCAACTCCTTGGCAAAAGAGCAACCAATTTATGCAATACTCAGTATGCCTGTTGCCATCTTTTAATACACTGCTCTGCACTGAGCGCATCAAGGGATTGTAGTGGCGATACTTTGGAATGCGAACGGAGGTACATTATCTAAAAGTAATCAACCTATTTATTAAATGCCGTAATGGTTTCATACAAGGATTATCTTCCTTGAAGGATGTATTAATTAAGGACGAGATATAGCCAGCTTATTTCTGAAAACTGCAAGACTTCTTTAGCCACGAGTCATTTAAATTTATTCAAATATTCAATTTGAAGCAGAACTACTGTATGAATGAATAATTGAATTGGGTAAATCATGTCGAACGGAATTTCGCACAAGTTTAAATTATGCAAAAGAGGTCCGCTTGAAAACAGGTGTTTAATTCCACTCTCTGCGCATCAACTGCATATGAAGTAGTTAATGTGTGTATTTTAGCGAGCGTATTTTCCGGACACTTTCCATCAATCAGCCAATTCCCCAATCTGGACAAACACAACGGGCCAACACCATAAGCCCCTGTTGCAGTCAGTGGCTTACTGAACCCGTGTGTAAACACAAAATCTGCCAGTGTAAACGGTTCCGGGGAAATATTAAACGAAACGCTTTCGAAAAGAGTCGGGTGTTGCGCATTAAGCCGTGCTCTGATGGCAGTGTTGAAAAACTTTAATTGAATCATCGCAAACATCAACGAGCAAACGTTACGTCGCAGCGGCAGAGTAGTGGCAGCGCAGCCACTGCAAATTGGCAATTTGGCTTGTGTTGTTTTTAATTAAAGTTTAATTAAAGCGATTGGCCCGCTTGGCAGGCAAATAAATGCAACGCCAACATCATCATCGCGGCGATATTCTGTCATTGGTGACTTAATTTTTTCCACGCAGCCCATTAACATTTTGAAATCCACTTACGCACGACCGGCTCTGTGAATCCATTCCCTCTCCCATCCTCACCCCACCTATGGGTCGACAAACCGGTATTGTATCAAAACTAAGGTAAGGGGTTTAGCCTGCTTAATCCGAATCTGAGTCGGAATCTGAGAAACTGACTATCTGCGTTGTGCAACACACTTGTGTCCAAGGTGAAGATGCCGCACTTTTGGGCTTTGATGAGGTGCGCACGTTTTGGGCGTGTTTTAGTGTTAATAAAGACATTAACCTTGGCAGGGGGCTTTCTTCGGGCACCTGCTGTGCTCGCTGAATCCCATTCAGAGCGACTCTTGGGTTAGCACATTTACATAATGCTGCCAGAAGATGCGATTTTTTAATAAAATCAAGTTCATCTCTCATCTTGTGCTCAGATGTGAATACATATTGGATGTAGTTGGACCTTAATAAGTTGACGTAATGGGTTCTTTTTGTTTCTGTTTATATTTTGAGTGTTTACTATTCTCTATATATAATAGATATTAATAAATGATACATAATACATATGATAGATAGACTGTGCACAGCTTATCTTTGAACTTAATCATTATTAACTAAAATGAGATATATATTTATTTATATATTGGTCTCTCAAAATAATTAAACAAAGCTTAAGACCAGAAGATACAATGTGAAACTGTAGAGTTTTTTATTTGACGAATTTGACAAGACTTTCAAGATAATATTTCAGTTTCCCACGTGAACTGATTTCAAATTTAAGTAAACAGTCTTTGGCGTGTTTGTCAATACTCAACCATCTCGTCTTCGTCTTAAATTGATTTATTCAGCCTCGACATCAACATTTTGGGGTTTCAATTGGGTCTGCACATTGCTTACCACATGTGAGCTTGTAGTTTATGTGCTGATTTTGGGAAATTCCATATCTTGCACTAACTAATAACCGATGCTGAAATTTTAAATTCCAACCACGCTTCACGCAAGCATCTTTGGAATGATATTGGCTTTGTTCGGTGCTATCTGGCATCAGGACACCTGCAGATTCAGTCCCCATCCCATCCGCCCTCTATTGGCGTCATGGCATGGCAACCTAACCCACAGTCAATAGATAGTCTCCTGACCTCCGACCCCCCACCACTCATAGTTTTAAGCTTATGCATTAACCATCGCAACCCGAAGCACCCCACCCCCCACTACTGCATAGTGCTGACACAAGTTTGGAGCTTAAGTTTAAAATATTTTTTATCAAAATATTTAAATTGAAAAACAATTATTTAACACTACTGACAGACTAATTACAACCATGTGCGTTTTTCAATTTTAATAAGATTGGTTATCTTAAATCACATTATTATTTGACTAATTTAACTTTAATATAATCGCATTTATAATGTATTAATAAAGTGAACAAACATTAGTCTATAAAATAGTTATACATTTTAGATCCTTAAATAAGATAGCTAATGCAACAGCACTTGGGATGCCTGCTTAAATTTCCAATCAGACAATGGAGACACACACGCACACATGCCGCACCCCCGGCATTTACCCACAGATTGGCCCCCTTTTGGCCAAGCTCATTATAAACTTTGCCTTCACAGCTCCCCTGGGTGCTAATTTGCGCCCTCTGTGTCGAATGTGGAGTATTGGCATAGGGATTGGAGGTGGGAAGATGGGATGATGGGAGTGGATTGGGTCTCGTTGTCTTGGGCCGGCCAAACCATTTAGTGGGTCCAATGCCGTAATTTCCTTTGGCATTTCTATTAGGCGGCAAATCATGCTCAAAATTATACAAAGGACGCCCAGACAAATGGATGGATCGATGCATAGAGACTTCGACGGGCGGAGTCAGCACATTCCCAAGCTGATTTACATAAAGCCAAAAGCCAGAAAGAAGATTCCCATTTGACAACCGCCGACAATTTGCTGGCAGAGACATCGATAGATTCGTCCATCGCTTTTTTTCTTGGCCTTTGTTTTTGTGGTTTGTGAATCATCCGATTTGATTTCCTAAATGACAGTCATAAACCCCTCCGACTACTCCAATCCGCCGACAGAGATTTGTGAGACAATAGTAGCCCATAAGTTGGCAGCAAGTTTTCTGCGAATCTTGCCGCTGACTTGACTGAATGAATATGTATATTATACTCGCATATTATACCCGTGTGTACTCATAAATATTTGCGTGGACGTGGATGTGGATGTGTTTGGTATTTGTGGCTATATCCGCGCATATAGTTCCGCAATAATATTCATTTATGCAAATTTTTCTATGCATTCTTTCTAGTCTCTGTGCGTGCGTTTCAGAGCTTCTTTCCCCTTTGTATTTACCCCTTTATTATGCCATTTTCGGGTATATTAGGTTCCTGCAACTAGTATATTATTATAAACTAAAATTAATGCTTACACTCCCTTAACGATTCATTTTATATAACTTCATAAATGTTTTTTACAGCTTAAAAATCACGGAGTTACGAAACAGTTCAGTAATGGGTACAACCCTTTCGGTCCTTTGTTAAATCACCATTTTAACTCTGTTTATTTAAACTTATTTCTGCTTTCATTGAGGCATGCGTCAAATTAAAATTCAACATTCGAAATGCGACGCGGTAAATAATTCAAGTGGCCGGACTCTTGCCCCCCCGCCCGCCCTTCCACATCGCTGTGGCTTTAACTCGTTGAACCCTTTTTACGTTATATTTAATTATTTGCATATACAAATATTTTTGTTTGCCGGAGTATGATGAATGCTGTGAGATTTTTTTCTGGTTCCCGTTTTTGCCCTGCTGCCTGCCGGCAATTTAATTGATATTGATGACGCTGCTCCAAATGGCATCACCCCAAAGTCCAGCCAGGTCTCCTCTAAAGGGATGAGGGGCTAACAGGCTGTGCTCTCTCAGTCATTAATCTAGCACATTACTTTGTGGCATTCTGGTGGACGGAGGGGGCACACTGAAGCACCACAAACAGAAAATTTAATTTATTTAAATTGAAATCTGTTCCCCTTCTGAATCATGGATCAGTTAATCACAATTTGAAATCTGTTCAGGTTCTCGCAGTGGTGTGCACATAAATTTCCGAAGATTTCTCGGAATTATTTATTTAAGTTGATATCATCAATTATGGCCTGCCTGCTGACAAATTTTGTCATATTTAGTACTCTTCAAGCAGTTGATAGACTTTCTTGTTCAGCTTGTCCTATTCTATATCGAATGTCTAATTCATGAAAAAGTTATATTATGTTAAATTCTGTTTTCTGAAACCCAAAGAAATAAATACATAAACAATATAAGTACTAGTTGAAGGAAATCTTAAGTTTTTAATATGAAAATAATTTTATATCCGTTTAATTGTTTTAATTTAATGCATTCGTTGTACAACCACTGTATTGCCATTGAAATTATTAATGCACACAAAAACACTTCTGACTGCTAACTGACGTCGCTAGACTAAATAAAAGTCCATTGTTCGTTGGAGATACTCATCGCTTTCTAAATAAATTTGTTTATGAAAACCTGTGCACTAAGTGGGCAGTTGTTCACCGCTTTTAAACACTTTAAAGTTTAAACACAGTAAATCGTGTCTTGTATAAGGAAATATCATGATATAATTTAAAATGTTCATTTTCTGATGAATCTGCTTATATGTAATAATAAAACGAGGTAACATAAAGCACCCTCCAGTTTCAAAGGTATGGAAACAAAAGAAGGCTTGGTCTTAAGTTAATATTAGGGTTGATAGCTAGCACAGGGATGAATACGACCTTAAGTCGTTTTTTCTTTCGTTACCCTTATATTTCTATATTGGGTAACATGTTATCATACATTTTACTCTAAATATAAACATTTTCAGCAAAAAGAAAAACAAGGTTGTCTAGGGTTAAACCCATTCCGACGGAAGTCGTGAAATCCTCTTTTCAAATTTAAATTCCGCGTCCATTTCATGAAAGTCCACTTGAAAGGCAGAAATTAAAACGCAATTTCAGCGCACAAAGCAATTTTGAACGGACTAGTGGGAACGATTAAATAGCCCGATAAGAAGCAGTTGGAAAAACAGCGTAGTCTGGGGATCAATGGGTTTCTATCGGTCAAAAAGAGAAGTAAACAGCTGACGCGTCACAAAATAAACAAAGGCCGTAACAGATAAGCGGTACCAGGGAAATAGAGCACTAAATAGAAACCAGAAAAATAGAGCTCATCGAAGGTTTACAGAGTCTAAATGTGCAATATCTTTTGAATCAGATAGGAGTGATTGTCAACGACAAGTGTATAAATAAAATAGTAAACGAAACAAATTCAATTGGAAAAATAAAAGTTTTTAGATTGTAGATGTCCTACGCCTATTTTATCCTATTTTAACAAGACTTTCATTCGACATGTATTGCTTTATATCTCTTTAAAGTGGAACTATTTATAAGTGTACTCTAACATGAATTCATTCACAGGCCTCTGTTTAAGTTACGGAGGTTGGACTGTATGTAAACATACATAGATTTGATATTCTTTTTTCTGTGTACTTAAAGCAAGAGCAAACAACGGCCCATCAGCCAATATGGCGAGTGTGTGTAAGTATAGGTATGGGTGTGTAGATGAGCAGGTGTGCATGTGTGTGTTTCGGCAAGCGGGTGAGAGAGAGTGAGCGTTAACTGTAAAATTGCATATTTTTCGCTTAATGTTAAACCGTTATCCCTGCCCCCAAGCCTTAGTCACTTTGAAGGGGATTACGTTATTTTGTTGGCCCTCGCAAAAGCGTTTTGATGTGGAAATAGTCGCGTTGCTGAATCATAACAAAACAACACACGCACACTTACCTCAGCATCGCCCTGTTCCTGTCGCACTCCCTCCTCTGTGAGTTTCTCGCCAGCTGCTTGGCACAAAAGCAATAGAAGCGCAACTGTTGCTGCCGCTAACAGCCTCATTTTGCTTGTGGCGTGGATGACTGTAATTTAGGGGGGTGTGGGGTTCTGAAATCTCCACCAAAAAATTCGCCGATTTTCAATGTGTTCGGTTCACAATGACGTTTGCACAAATCACGCGCACAGGTGAGATCGAATGTTTTCACGTTCCGCTGGCGAAATACGCCGCTTTACTGTTTGGTGGTTTTTGGTCTTTGTTTTCTGCGAGCTAGGGGTGGATCGAAATCCGACAGTTCAGTGCTTTCGATTTTTCTTAAATCGATATTTATTTATTTTACAACAATCGATTAATTTAAATCGTTATCTGATTGAACCTTTTGTGGAATATATATATAAAAAAATTAAATATATTATTTTATAAATTAATATTCTGATCTTGAATAAGGCACCTAAAAAAACTATATCAGATTATCGATAATTAATTAAAGCGCCAAATTTTAAATTTTCTATCCAAATTTGGATTGTCAATCCGAAAGGCAATGCTTATTACTATTTTTATTTATAAAATTGGAACTTGACTTGATATCGAAATTCTGAAATTTTGGAAAATGGTAAATCTTCTGCTATTATATAAATCTGTCTATTTATTATTCAACTCTTTAAAATGTTAATTTTAACCTTAAAAAACAATGAAAATATATTTTCATCATGTCAGTATTTTTATTTAGCTCTATGAATCTGTTCATGTCAAATATAATATCCTTATTAACTGTAGAAACCATCCGTTACTATTAAAATGCAATTTTTTATATATTTAAAAAGGGTAATAAAGATTCGGAACATTAATAGATATATTACCTCATTGCGACTGCGCAAGGAAGTCCTTTCGAAACCAGGACAGCTAATCGGTGCGTGACCTGGCGAATGGTATGCTCAAAACGGAAGTGCACAAAAACAAACAGTAAAAGGTAACCGCTGGCAACAACTCCAGGTTGTGCTTATTGATAAAGCGCGTTTGCAACAATTATCTATTTCTATTTCAGAGCAGACTTCCGCTTTTCGCAGCATGAGCTCACACTATCTCAATTCCTGTGTGAAAGTGCCAATCGATCCTTGTAACAACTGTCCGGCTCCGGTCTACAACCGCCCTAAGCTCTGTTCCCTTGGAGGAAAGAAGCCGACAGATAAGACTCCCATTGCGTCACCGAAGAACGAGACACCTGCGTGGAGCACCCAGATGGGTGTCAGGTCCCTTGCTAAATTCTATGATAGTATACCTGGTGAGTTCGATTCTACGACTAAAGTTTATTTTATTCATAATTTGGGCATTTAAAGCCAATTCGGAGAAAGGTTTTTTTTAATGGCTTTTCGGACCATAATCATATATGTAATGATTTTTTTCTAGACTACTGTGATGTTAAGCACCTGCAGCATTCCGAGTTCTACTCCACGCTAGAGAGTCTTCGAAGCACAAGCCGTGAACTGCGGTCCCAGCCAGCTGCTGCTCCGACTCGAGAGCGATGCGCCAGTGCCAGCAGCAGTTCTATGGGTCCTGGAAAGTCTAAGAAACGACCGTCCAAAGGGAAGAAGATAAAAAAGCGTCCTCTGACACTGGATCCTGCTCCTCCGCCACCAATCGTAGTGATCCCCGAGCATCAGAATAGATGTGACACTCACCCAGTGGTCCATACTCCGAATTCCAGTTGTCTTAGCGAGGAGTACGACAAGTGCCTCAGGGATTTGAGTCGTCTAAAGAGCTTTAAGGAGGATTTTGCCGTAGAGGTGGCGGATTTTAAAAGGTCGCTGAAAAGTTTCGAAGCAGAGTTTCGCAGGCCAAAATCCACCAGCAGCAATGGGACTCAAACACAGACCCACAGCCAGACCCAGAGCCAAAACCGTTCCCAGCCAACTTCCAATCCAGGCCAACATACAGCAGAACGGGCTAAATGTCGGAGAGAAATGCTGCGCAGGTGCTTTAGTGTCAATGATCTTCAAGGATGTTCAACTACCTCAGAACGCCAATCCAAACCTTCGAAACCAGTTCAGCCTGCGCTCAGCAACTATTTCCCCCACCGTAAGGAGGAAGAGGTCCCCAAAATACAGATACAATCGCCCACCACTTCATCGAAGCGAAGCAGTAGTGCCTCCACTGTAGGAAGAGTTCGAGGAAGACGTGGCAGGGGGAGGAAAACGAAGCCAAGTTCTACCGCTAAGGATGAGAAGCCACTGCCACCGCTAAGCATCTTCGACCTGCCGGAGGAACCGATCCAAAGACGAACGCCCAGTGTGTCGCCATTACACCCAGTTTCTCGGCCAAATCTTGCAGCCACTTTGAGGGCAGAAGTTTCCAGGAAAAAGGTTAAGGAGCTAAAGAACAACTGCACCTTTCATGACCCCCGTCCGCAATTTGACTGGGAGGTGAGAAAGACCCCTGCTTGGAAGTCACTGTCCCTAAAGTAAGTGAAATTCCTTAAGTAAATCTTCTAATAAACCTAATCACACTTTTCTCCCTCAGCGAATCTCACAAGGCTTTGTTATCAATTCGGTTAGCCACCCGGAAGGCAGAGCAAGCTTTCCAAGAACGCCAATACGAATTGCATATGGAAATGATGCGACAGCGGGTAAAATCCGCTCCTCTTCTCCTCGAGGGCCCCACCTTCTGGGGACCGGAAGTAGGCAAGCTGACCCACACCTGTCGTAGCGAGGAAATGCGCCACTCGTGCGAGGGCAGCCGGCAGCGGAGGAAGAAAAAGTCGGAGTGCCCAGTCCCAGATACAGATACCAAGCTCCAGCAGCTGCGCAAAATTTATGGTTCTGAAAAGTCCTGCTCGAGGCAATCTCAAAGAAGCAAGCGCTCTGGAAGACGGCCACATGGACTAGTTACAGAGACGCCCACCCACGATAGCGGCGACGACCTGTGCAGCGTAGATCGTGCCTTCCTCTAGAGAATCACCTAATTTCTAAACACCTAGTCACAATATATGTATTCTTTTTGGATTAACCTACGCTTGGGATTTATTGATCGGCAATTTGAGGGATAAAAGCGGTTTGAAGTCTGTTATCACCTCGAAGCAGCTTTTTTGATCATCTGTTAAGGGGGCGTTTCCAGGACGCTCAAGGATAATGGCTTGTAATCCAGCAGATTGAGCAGCAGCCGCTTCTAAAATGTTGTAAAATGTAGAACAAGCATTAGGATTGTAAGAGAAAATAGTCCAACGCTTACCTCCTGGAATGTCCGTGAGAAACAGTATGTGCTGTGGTTCCTCGTTTAATATCTTGGCTATATTTTTGTAAGATTGCTGGTCCTGCTTGTGGCCCACATGTGTGTCAAAGTGAGCACTGAGAAACGGTTGCAGGTTTCCCTCTACACTATAACCAAAAATAAGCTTTTGGGCAGCAACACTGCCGCTGGAGTAGACAGCAATCTGGAGACCCTCATTTTGCCAGGCTTGAAACGTTTTTGGAACATCATCATACACACTAAACATGATAAGGAAATGGAATACATTAATAATCTACTACCAAGAACAGAATCAGAGTTTTAATGTGATAAAAAGTAGAATTTTGAATTGAAAATTCGCATTTACCAATGTAATAGTAGATGCAAAAAAACCGAGAACATAAAGTAACAACGTGTTGATAACGCATGAAAATTTGGGTAACGTATCATATGAAACTTACTGTCCCTTGAGCTCTTTGCTGGCATAACCCTGCTCCCAGATGAGGCCCTGCAGCGTTTTCATCGGCGTGACCTTTAGATCTTGGTCAATAAGATAGCGTACAAAGTCTGTCATCAGTTTTACATCCACTTCCGTCGGCGGAGTACTTAATGAGGCCTTAAAATCGGAAAATTGAGGTACTTTCTGCAGATCGTAGACAAGCTGCTTGGTATCATCTCCAGCCCAGGATTCCTCTAAGAACTTTTCCACATTCTTTTTGGCATACGGAAACAGGACATCATGCACGAAGCTGATCGAAGTGGTTGTTCCTTCGATGTCAACCAATACCACCTTGGCTTCTTTGGTCGTCATTGTGCTTATCAGTGGGATTAAGTTATCACGCGGGATCCGTAGACTTTCCAAGGGCTCAGCATCTGTTGGTTCTGATAATGGAGATGGGACTAGAAGTAGCCGGCGCTATCGATTGAACACTGTAGATAGCTATAAATGTCTGGTATTACACCTAGGAAATTCCCCAAAATAGTGACATGCTGTTCATTTTTTCTTAGTTAGAAATTAAAGCTTTATATCATCAAAAGTTGCGCCCCATAAATTTTTATATGATCTAGCCATAATAATTTTTTTTATCAGACTTTTTGTTTTATTAATGTGATTAAATTTCAAGAAATTTACATTTAACTTACCTAGTGAGAGACCTTCTTGGTTTCCGTTAAAAATAGCTAGAATTTTCGTCATCAGTATCGATTAATGACCGGCAATTAGTGTTGTGCAACGCTTTCATTGTAATCGGTCTACGACAAATATCGGTTGACGCCCATCGCTAGTAAATAAGAATTTCACTTTTTCCTTAATATTTTGCGGATTTATTGTAGTAAAAATATATTCAGGATGTATGCTGGCGTTTAAAAAGAGGGCACAGTGAAAAACGCCACTGGAAAACACGCTGAAAACAAAGATATTCGCCAATAAAACGAGCATCAACGCACATATAGCTGCCCGTGCGTGTGTGTGTGTGCGTTGTATGTGCGTTTTTTGTTTATTTGTCAGTTTTGGCCTACGTGATTAAAATAAGCGCAAGCGAACTAACAGTGAAATGTTGGCTAAAACGAGCCAAGTGCCGTAATTCGCATTGATAATTGATAGCCATAATCGCGAGTGCGATAGTGTGTGTGTGAGGGGGCGAAGGTGGGGCAAAACAAAAAAAGCAGAGAGAGCAGTCAAGGTTAAAATCGGTCGTCGCCTTCGGCATTTCTCTCCCGTAAAATGCAATGAGCAGGGGTCGCGGAAAGGTCAGGAACTCAGCTACCGATTCCGATTCCTATTCCCGATCCAAATCGGCCATGGACCCCCCTCGCTGCTCCATTTGCGGCACTCAACAGCAGCTGCTGCGCTGCGCCAAGTGCAAGGCCGTCTACTACTGCTCCCCCGCCCATCAGCACATACATTGGCCCGACCACCGTACCGAGTGCCGCCTCCTAACCCGACAGAAGCTAAACAGCAGTAACAGTAACAACAATAAACAGCAACAACAGCAGCGGCAGCAGATTCAGCAACTACAACAAGCGGTTGCATCTACCAATCTGGAGGGCAGTGGCGCCGGCGCCAACTGCTCCACCGCCCAGATGATGACCCCAGCCCACCAGGCGCAGAATTGGCCAGCCGAGGTGGACAACCTGCTGAATCTCCTCGGGCAGCCGGGCAGTCAGGAAAAGGCGGCCACAGCGGAAACAGAAGTGGGTCAAAAGCAGCAGCATCACCACAACCATCCCCACCATCATCATCATCACCATGGCGAGAAGAGCTCTAGCTATCAGATCGGACTGGCGGATGCTAGCTTTATGGGATCAGGAAGGTGAGTTTTGGAGAAAAGAGTTATTATCCAGGCAAAGAGAATATTTAAGTTTGCTCGTTTTTAACGTCTCTATTTATGGGGTATACCAATTTATATTAATAAAAATATAATCCGGTTATCAAACTAAATAACAAATTACTTTGTCATTGACGAGATTTGGATTTGTTCTTTCGTTCCCTGAGAAATTGTGTGACCATTATATTAATGGTCAACAAGTTAATATCAATAGTATTGGTATGTTCTGAAATGTTGTTTGAAAAAAATGCACTAGCTAATCGAAAAAAAAAATTACCTTTAACGTTTTAAAAACACTTTTAAAACCAATGTTTTTTGAAGTAAAACATTAAAAAATTTTTTCAAACCGAACACCTTTTCCCAAAAGATTTAACTTCTTTCAGGCCAAAAGAACGAAAAACATACGGGTACGATGGCTATGAACTTTCACTTATGTTTAAATTTAAATGTAGAACGATTAAAAAGCGAATTTCTGAGGTAACACACTTTTCTATTTAATTTTCTTATCAGTCTTGAAACGTATAAATTTTAAAACCCTAGTTTTCCAGCATAAGAAAACTTAAATAGGTATCATTCTAGGCTAAGCCTTATTGACAACCAAACAAATATTGATCAAATGTTTTGAAAGGAATGGTCATCAGTCAATCTCGGTCTACTGGTCGATATAAAATAAAATCAGATCAACAGATAATATCGATTAATCCCAAACATTAGATAATCCCAGCCAACTTGACCAAATCGAGTAGCGAGTGCGATTCCTTCTCCACTTGTGCCACTTCCTTACCCTCCACAATTTCCTTCAGAGTCGTGTTCTTGGCCTTGTAAGCCCGGCATTTATCTAGGACCCGCTCGAACTCTGCCACGATCATATCCTGACTTGGAGACGAAGGTGGCTTTTCAAAATCGACAGTATTTGTCTCCCACTTGGGTCTCTGCGGCTGCTGGAAATCTATGGCGATGGCTCCGTCTGTAATGACTTCTTCGTCGACTGCATAAATAGTGGCTACTGCTGCCCCTGCTCCTTCAAGCATGGCCAAAACCAGGCAGCCCACAAAGGCACTGTTGGCCATAGCACGAATACCATTGCGAGCTGCCAAAATTCCGCCAGTGGCCGCTCCACTGACAATCGAATTCCATGAATCCTCCCTCTGGCGATACGAAATCATAATGCAGTCCACCGTACTGAAGGTGGCGCCCCAGATGGCAAAGCTGCCTGCAATAGACGGAGTCCGCAGTTTCACAGACTCAAAACCGCCGTACAGGCCACGACGGAAACCAGTTGGAGCATTGCGGAAACCCTTGAGATACTGAAATACCGATCCTCCTATGGTGCCCATCATAAAGGCGCACCCGCAATCCTCCACAATTCTGATGGGACACGGCTGCCGAGTGTACTCCATGATCCACTTTGATCTTTCGATAGATGTTCTTTTATCCTTGATTTCAATCGGGGTTTCTCGTTACTGTTATGTTTGTGCTTCTATATATATTCTGCCTTTTATCAAAATCGTGTGATACATTATTTCGATGTTTACCTTATGACATTTACTTCTGTTCTAACTCGATAAAATTGTGATCGATGAGCTAAAAAGTAGGCCAATAAAAGCTTCCTTAAACAGTGAAATACATGATTCCGGTGAGGACATATTTTTTTATGATAAAAAATATTAAAATTTAAAGCTTAAACCATATTGTCTTATGAAATTTTCTGAATATATACATCAATATCTTTAAACTTTTTTCGTTGTTCTGGTTTTAGCTTATCTTGCATTTCAGCCTTGATTTCACCCGATAACTAGTTATTAAATGTGACTGAACCAAGCAATTTAATGAGTAAGACGTACACTTGAAATCGCGCTTGAAATCCGTTAAAACACAATGTCCACGAACCGAAATGTGTAGCTCCAGATTAGGCCCCAACATGTGCAATTCCATCTCCGGAGGCCCCGTCCCACCCCTCAGCGATCTTCGCTTGCATATCAAGTCAATTACCGATAAGCGGTTACGTGCCTACTTCTGAGAAACGGCACGAAAGGAAGCCATATATGACAACTTTGATGATATATCATCTATTCAGTGTCATACTTTATGGTTCTTTTGATCTTGATCTTGGCCACTGATTACACAATCTTTTGATAAACGAATTTCAGTTGAATGACTTACTATTTTTCCCCATCTGCGAAAACACACAGAATCTAGACAGACTAAGCTAAGTCCAAATATCTTTCTTGGCTTAAAAGTCATAAATAAAACAGACCATAGATTATATATAAATATTATAAGTTTAACCAAAACCTGTGTTGCAAGCTTAAGCTAAATATACCTTATATATATTTAAGAATATAAAGTTTTAAAATAGTTGATTAGTTAAATTGTTTGTCCCGGGAATATCTTAAGTTTTGTCATCAAAACTATCTTTTTCTGATGACAATTCTTAGTTTCATGAAACAAATGTGCGTACGTGTGTATGCATTGGCTTTTTATTGTTTCTGGTTTGTTCGCATTCTGTCGCGAGATGACACCTCTCGAGTCGAGTATTTACCTTTGGCATTACGTGCCCGGCGGCATAGTGCATATGGCGGCCATAGCCAATCTGATAGCACCTGCAGTCGCACTCGCAGTCGCACTTTTCCAGCGGAGTGTGCTGACTTTGTAATTATTCTGTTGCGCAGTTCGTTGCGTCCGAATCTTTGATACTCGCTTATTTATTTATTTTTGCTTTACACCCCGGCATTAACAGATACAACAAACATGCACCGCGCACATCGGGAAATATATAATTCTTTCGCAATCGTTGGGCTGATCGTGCTGAATCATCACTAGCACTGTTCAATAAAATATAGTATTTTTGGTTGGGTCATTATATGCTATTGAATGAACACGTTTAGACACCAAATTAGACACCAAGAGACTTTTTTTAACGGAAGATGTCATGAGGAAAGTGCAGTCGTTCAGGGTAGATAATGATAAATCTTTTCACAGACTTAAATGACGAATTTCGAATTGCTTCGAATTTTTTTATATTTATCTTTAAAAACTGAATAAATAGATTTTTTTTTTATAGATTTTTAGCTTTATTTATATAGTCTGGTTATGTGCTTGATAAATATAAAAAATTCAAGGTTTTTTTTTCCAATTTATTGGACTTACTTTAATGAAACAATTTTGTCAACGAGTGTAATAAGTGCTGCCTCTTTTGTGTGCCTCTTATCGCCCGGAGTGGGTGGTCTGTTCAGCAGGCTAGTCAGGAGCGTTTTGCCTACGTGCCGGGAATACGCAAGCGTATCGTTCAAATCGTGTTATCAGAATTTAGCATTTGCCTTAGCTCTGAGATTTCAATCTGCGGCGAGATGTGTTGTTCTTTATTAAACAATTAGCAGTCGGTCCAACGTGATCTCATTTCCAGGGATTTGCAAAATTCCGGCATTGTTTATAAATGTGCTAAATTTGCTGGTGTTCCTGTCAAGCCACTCTCCGGAGAAGAGCAAACAATGTGGTTGCGCAAAACTCGATAAACAACCATCACCCAAAAACCGCATTTATCTCAAGTCTGACTGCCAATGTCACACATATTTGATAAGAAAGGTCAATATCCATTCTCCCGGTCGATTCTATTTACCCTGGGACTTATTAATACGCCTGGAGATTAAACAAGAGTGCATTCACACTGCCGATTGGTCACGTATTTCCAAATTTTTCGTTTTATTTTTGAATTGCTTAGCTTCCTCTTAGGTTGTCAATGTACCGAGCTGTGGATTTAAGATTTTTCCGGTTTGTTAGGAAATAAGGCTAACTTCCTAACTGAAAGAAACCTTAACTGATGTTGGTGTACTAAAATGAATTGTTCTATGAATAAGTAAAGATTAAGGTATCCATTACTGTTTTACACAATTGTAAAATATTTATGTTGCTAGTGGAAATGGACACCTTTTGTCAAAAAAGCATGTTTACTAACTGATGTATAGTAAAATAATGTTCAGATTTGATATATGATTAGTAAATCTATAGATATTGACAGTAATATGGTATACAAGGTCAATCGAAGACATACACTATAATATTATGGGCGCACAGTTTTCCAAGGTGGGCGTTACAGTGTGAGTAGTAAGATGGTGATATAAACTTGCGCTGCGTATGAACCTAAAGTAATGGATCACCACCTCAGCATTACGCTTTTAATCTGATTGATTTAAATTTGATGATAATTGAAACAAAAATTTAGTACTATCAAAATAAACTACTCACGTTTGACTGTTTTGCCTTTATTATTAATTTGATTTCATATTGCGCATAAATAAAATGGATTAATAGAGGTTTTTATTAGAGGATCTCTTTCTTTCATTGCCCTATTCATTCTATCTTAAACTAATTAATTTACGCACTTTCAATATGGAACTGTAGCCAATATCTAACGATAAATCTCAAAGCAAACCGTACTACGTAGGCAGACGCACGTCATCAAGGTCGTCTGCCGCCCCTTCACACCGCTTGTTCTCCACCCACTAAAAGGGCTGAGGGCTGTGTGTGGTACACGTGCCACAGTCCCCGTCGTCGCACGTAATACATCACAGACGAAGGGCTACAATCGATCATTACAATGTACACAGAAACATGTTTGCACTTAAAGAAATTAGGGAACTTTTTTTGGTTTAAAGTCTTAGTACTGATAAATTTCTATTAATAATTCTGGGACCATAAAATAATAAGGACTGCAGTAAAACTGCCCAAATTGCAATTAAACCCAACTATACAAATACCTTATGATTTTTTATCCTTTTCTGATTATTATGTGTCAAAATTTTAAGTTACGACAAATTTCTAATCGCGTATTGTGCTTAAAACTTTTGAAATTTGTTATCTTTCTATTCTGTATTCTGTTCAAAAGTACCAATGTTATAAAATTATTTTCAAATAATATAACATTTGGTTTAATATCAAACTGAAATGATTAAATATGTATATATGGTGGAAAATGGTTTCTAACCAATCATCTCGGCAATCCTAATTACTAATGAACCCATGCAGTTAGGGAAGCCCCTCCATTTTCTCTTGGTGCACTTCATTTGCGTCCGACTTTGAACTGGGCCGTTGACCCAATTCTGTGCTCCGTACATTCGCTTAGCTTCCGCGTGTTTCCGCCGTTCTGTGGCTCATCTTTGGGTTTGTTTTCAAAGCGTTTTTTTAGCAGATATTTGTATCAAACAATTTTAAATATCTATCCCTGACCCCCTCGCACTCCCTTCGCTATTGACCATCTCTTTCTTACCCACTTGTGTTCGCACTAACGCCTGTGCGTGTGCCTCCTTGTGCGTTTGTGTGTGTTCGCTCGCATGTGCGTGTGACCAAGTGTGCCTGTGTGTGTGCTGGGCTACGTGACGATTGTTGCGCTTGTCTTTTCTGCCTTTTCGTTTGCCTTTGGTTTTCCCTGCTTTTCCGCTTGCATTTGTTTTGTGTTTGCAGATTGTGTTTGGACTTGCTTGAAGGGCAAGCGGAACGAGAACCTTCCTCTGGCTTCCCTGGAACTTGGCAACTCGATCTGTTCCCCTAATTTGCACGTCCAGTTCGCTTTGTCGTTATCACCAGCTGCCTTCTACCTTTATTTTTTGCCTTCTTTCTCAATATTTGCTCACATTTACCAACGTGCTGCTTATCGCCTTAAGCGGTTGCTCTTTCTTCCTCTTCTTTAGCCGTTTCCCAGGCCCCCAATTTTCTCATTCGCGTGTAGACCACGGACGCTCTGTTATAGTGATGTCATATATTGAGAAATAAAGAAAAATAGGTACAATATATTAAAAACTTATTGGTGGCCCTACGAAAAGAAATTTTATTTATAATCGGAAAGGTAAAAAAACGTTGGAAACAATTTTCATTAAAAAAAAAAACATCTCTGGTTTTATTATATTTCTTCTGAATAGCTATCTTATATAAAACTACCCAAAAATATATCAACACAAAAAAGACTTGTAATAAATATTCAGGATGATACAGATTTGTAAAGCAATTTTAAATAAAAATCGTAAAGAAATAATGTAAAGAGTATAAAATAATATATGTACATGAAATATAAATTCATTTACGTGCGTATATCTAGCCGCTAGATTCTAGCGGTAAATTAGCTAAACTACCGTCACCTGCTCTCAAATCTCTCTTCCGTGCTCATTAGCTCTCTCCTAGTCTGTGAGGCAACGGTATCGACCGAGAGCGACTGGCTATGCTCCCGCATTCGGAAAACGAACGGCGACGAGTGCGGTTCGTTTCAGCTGCTCCATTTTTTACTTAACTTTTTTAAGCGAAGCCAAACGATAAACAAACGTGACTAACGGTGCATAAACAAAAGCAAATCAAAACAAACATCTGCCAGTGAAACAAAAGGCAAATAAATAGGCAATATCTGCAGCTGGTCACAACAAATGCAATCAGCAATTACTCCTACCTGCCCACAACAACAAAGGGGGCCCACCGATATACGATATAATATAGTGACCGGTATCTCTCTCTGACTCGCTCGTGCTCTCTCCCTCTAATGATCGGGGCTCGCAATCGCATAAAACTCGCATGCAATTCCCAACTTTCTTCAGTTGTGCGTGAATTTCTGGAGGAGTAGCTAGAGAACCCTTCTTCTCCTTAAAACACACCCACTAACTAATTTTGGATATTAAAAAAGTATAGACTTTTACAAGTGCAAACGGTAGTATTTTGAGAACCTTTTTACTACTCAAAAACGACCTTTAGCAAACTTTGGACATTTATAAAGGACCCTCAGTCTTTAGAAGTGCCACAAAAGTGATAATAATCAAACGCAAGCTGACTAATCACGGAAAAATGATAACTTCCACGACAACGGACTATAAAAACTTCTTCAAACACTCGGCACATCCTGCCAATGCCGAGCAATTCTTCCGGGAGCTACTGGACAAGCGGTAATTGAGCTTAACAAACTTCTATAATTTTAATCATTGGCGGATAACTTTTCTTATAACACAGACAAGTTGAACATTTAAATTATTCCAACATTAAAAATCTCTGGGCTAGTTTTTCGTCAATAGAAAGATCTTAAACAATAGAAAAAAAGATTTGACTCATGACCATGAAGACATGAAAACAGGTCTTTGGATGAAGAAGTTCCAAAAGTCGGAATCAATGCATTTTGTAACAGCCATAATAGCATATGTAGTTTCTAGCTATTTTTATAGAAATCTGAATTCAATAAAAGAAAAATACACCAAAAAAAATTAATTAGAGCTTAAAGTTTAAATCAAACTTCAATTATAAGGGAAGATTTAAAGTTAGTTTAGTTTTTAGTTTAGTATAAATGGTAAACTGAAATCCAAATATCGCTGCAAATAGGCTATAAATTACTATATAAAGTCTAAAATAATTTGATCAGCTAGGATTATTTTCTTTTCTCTTGAATTTGTTTTAATTCGCAGACTAAACCTAAAAATTTGATGACAACTAATTTTTGCACTGGTTATAAACTGTTAATTATTAGATTCCATGGATTATGAATGCCAAAATATAAAACCGGTTAACGGTTTCTATATGTGGTCCTCAATGTCGTCTTTCGAGTGTTTCAATCTCTAGGCAACCTGTGCGTCTGTGTATTTTCATTAATATTTTAACATAACACAGTTTGCTTTCTGAGGAGACAATTTGCAAGTTCCCCTTGGCTTTGGGATGCTAAAATTTCCCATCTTTCCTATTCCGGGGAATTCAGTATTGATCAACCGTATAGCACGTTTCAGTAATTCTTTTTATTTTGCGACAATAATTTTGACTTTATGACTTTTTATAGCTTCTGTGAACTTGTGCGAAAATGCTTCATCTTGGTTTATTTATTTATTTTTCGCAATGTGTAGCTTTGCTTTGCTTATCCAGAATTATATGTCGTGTGGGCCAATGGATGGATGTGAGTGGGCCAATTCTGTTCTGATCCGCTCAATTCTGGGTGGCCTACGTGACTGGGGCCCAGCGACTTGTATGAAAATATTGGTTTTATGGGTGCATCATAAAAAAGTCGTAAAACTGTATGCATCGCAGTACTGGTTGCTCTAACGCCTGTAAAAAAAGCTTAAATGCAATAAAACTTTTGTGCTAAAAATAGCTAGGAAAAGCGACGTCTAGATCTACAGAATGCAGGGGTTTCCCCAAGGTGACCTCACTCACATAGGCATCTCTAAATCAATTACAGATTAACGGCCTTGAAAGGTCTCTATATTTCCCCCCTTGCTTCTCTCGATTAAATAAAACGCAATTCAAATTCTCCGTCTGATTGAAGTTCTTTGTTTTCCTTCTATTATCCCACAGTGAGCGGCGCTATGAGGACTTGTGCCGAAACATCATCAGTGACATGAATCAGTACGGATTGTCCGTGGTGGACGACTTCCTGGGCATGGATACGGGCCTGAAGATCCTCAACGAGGTTCGAAGCATGTACAATGCCGGGGCATTTCAGGATGGTCAAGTGGTGACTAACCAGATGCCTGATGCTCCAGCGGTACGCGGGGACAAAATCCGAGGCGATAAGATCAAGTGGGTTGGTGGCAATGAGCCAGGCTGCAGCAATGTCTGGTATCTGACCAATCAGGTTAGTTGGCTTTATACACTTAAAACCTATATAATAATATCAAAACTATAATTACCGTCCGTTGCAGATTGACTCGGTGGTGTATCGTGTGAACACTATGAAGGATAATGGTATTTTGGGCAACTATCACATCAGGGAGCGCACGAGGGTAAGCATTCGCCGAGGTAAACCCATAAGGATTTATTCATCAGGTGTTTCCTAAATTATAGGCAATGGTTGCCTGTTATCCCGGATCGGGAACCCATTACGTCATGCATGTTGATAATCCCAAAAAGGATGGTCGCGTAATAACGGCCATTTACTACCTTAACATCAACTGGGATGCGCGGGAAAGTGGCGGAATACTGCGGTTGGTTTAAATAACTTATTTGTACTATGAGCATAAACTGAAGTATAAACTATTAACAGAATTCGACCCACGCCCGGAACGACGGTGGCCGACATTGAGCCAAAGTTTGATAGGCTGATATTCTTCTGGTCGGACATCCGGAATCCACACGAAGTACAGCCCGCACATCGTACCCGCTATGCCATTACCGTCTGGTATTTTGATGCCAAGGAGCGCGAAGAGGCTCTTAATAGGGCCAAGCTGGAGAACAGCAAAACGAACAATGTGGCTGCTCAAGCTCAGGCCCAGCAGGCTGAACCCGACTCCACCACCACCCCACCCGCCACACCAGCAACACTAGCACTAGCACCAGCACCAACATCCTCATCCAGCCTGCCGGCCAGCATGTCTACAGGAACGGGAGCGTTGAATGCCAATGTGGCGAGTAATTCCTGCGCCGCTAGCAACGAAATATGCACGTAACGCCAGCTGGCAGCGCAGCTATAGGGCAACCAAAAAGTGTAAATTATTTCCAACCAAACACACATGTATAAAGCTAGTTAAAAACTATTTATAGCTCCGGACGGGCGGCAGCCCAAGCCCGAATGGCGAAAGTGAATCAAAGCTCCTTTAGTCGTTAAGCCTTCTAGTTTAGTCTCTAAGTCGTATCCTTAGTTATTCTCGCATTAACCATTAGCTTACTGCCTTGTCAGCGTCCGAGTTGATTGTTTATTAATTATTAGTTTGTTGCATCTTTGTCAGGACCTTTTGCCTAGCTCATCCTTAGTTATTGGCTGCCAAAGTATTATACCTAAAGAGAAGTTAACCAGCTTCATAAACATCAGCTACCCTCGCGACGCTCATTGTATCCTATCTCAAAATTATTTAACAAGCCAGCAAATTGCAGGCTTTCACTCAATCTGTCGACTCTCATGCATCTAGCTAGGAACATTTTTGATATCGTTTACATCTTATAACAAGCTGAATTCAATGTCTGTCAGAAATCTTTTCTCTTGTTATCTCTAAATCATTGAATATGTATATTTATGGCATATCTATATGTATATTTTTATATTAAACGAAAGCCTGAGCAAATGAAGTACGCCTGTGTGTCTTTACTTTTATGTGAAAATTAAATCCTTAATTATTTCAGTAATAATTGCTACATCCTGGAGGGTATCTATAACGACTCAGTCTCAGCAGTCCGTCTGGAAGCCAGAAATAACTTCCCTCCCACAACTCAGGTTGTTGACCATTGTGAAAACCTGAACGGTCTCATCAGATCTTCACACAAGATAGTTGCCCAATGCCACAAGTGTCAAGCATTGCCAAAAGCTTTCCAACTGCGTCAGGTGTGGCTTGCAACATGGCTTGGAGGCCTGCTCAAAGGATGTTCATCCAGTTAAGTATGTTAACTGTGGCGGCTAGCAATAAAGGTTGTGCAGTGTATCAACAGTTCGCTAACCTGCGGAAGAATGTCACATCAAAGCGTAGCTCTGTTCTCCAAAAACTGTCTGGCTCAAGCTATCGGGCAAACCCTGTGGCTCCAGTTTCCTACCCTAACGCTGTCCAAGGACAAGTTAATCATCCCCCACAGGTGTCTTTCACTCTGGGTCAAGAACAGTTTCCTCCGCTGGCCAGCAATAACAGGAATCTAAGTCAGCTTCGCCATCAAATAGCACCACCTCGGCAGTAGCAGCAGGTTGCAGTAGCAATGGCAACGTCAAGAGCAAATATTCTTGCAATCCAATGAAACATTATCAATCCTTGTTGCCCAGTTCGACAAAATGTTCCAAATGATGGTGCCGATGATGGGACTTGTCTCAAAATCGCTACCTCAAGGCACCCTGCTGATCTCTGACTCAAGGAAGCCAAGTTACTCGAGTCCTGAAACAGTAATTCAGACTTGTAGTATTAAACTCTAGTTATCTAGTTATGAACATTTGTTATTTTCCTTCCTGTTACGTATTCATGTTATTTGTTAAATTTAATATTATACCAAAGGTATTATAGCCATTAAGTTGGCTGATCGACGTTTAATAATTGTTATACCAAAAAAAAGGGCGTTTTTTTAATGTAATGATGGTATTCTAATTTACAATCAGTTTGAGAAAGTAAACACTAATTCGAATTGTTCGGTCCTACAAAATCTCTATCGGTTTTCGGAGTCCGAAAAGTTGTATAAGTTACTGCCAAAAATACACCAAGTTATAGGATTTTGTTTTATCCTAAAAGTATGCTAATTATTTTAAGATCAAGGAATAATTTTAATTCATTTTTAATTGGTTGGGCGTACAAACAATGTCTAAATGTCTTATTTAGTTTTAGTGAATTTTAGCCATGTTTGTGTGGACAATTTATGATGGTAACGATTTATTCGGAAGGCAGTCCCTGCATAGGTGTGCTAAAAGTCATGTCTCAAGAAGTATACTCGCAAGTGAAACTCAAAAGTTTAAAATAATGTTGCTTGATATTGGAAGGTACTTTTATCTATGTTATGTTATTTTCTTTTTCATCCCAAAGAAAATAAAACATCTCTGAACTATTTAAAGATAACCGCTTTTGTTCTTTGTCGTTTGAGCCAAAAAGAAATGGCTTTAAATTAAAGTCAACGACATGGAACTCTAATTTTAGCATTTCAATCAAGCCGTACATTTAATAACTACTACCTCAGATAACAGAAGCGTATAAATAAAGCGATGGCACTCTGAGTATAAGCAGTTTGCACCAGAATGCAGAAGTTCTTCAGTTTTATTTTCTTCCTGGCTTATTTGGCCCTCGGATGGGGCACGGAAAGATACTCTACTTTCCTAACTCCCGGTAAATAATAATATTGGCTAACTATATTTTGATACATGTCACTTAAAGGTAAATTTTTGAAAATTCGTATAAATGGTTAGACAACACTTAAAAATCTGAATCCTTCTTAGTCATTTCCTAACTGCACACAAAATATTGTTAAATACATAACCAAAGAGTTAAGAAAACTACCAACAGATTTCCCTTATTGCGTGAAGGTGTATTAAATGACAGAAAGGTATGTTCATATAGATAACCGTTTGGATATTCAGCTAGTGCAACTTAGAAAATCAAAAAGTTTTTCTTGAAGAAGAACATTAAGTGTGATTTGCTTGAAGGTTTAGCGTTTAAGGTGAGGTGAAACATAAAATAGACATCTCATCATATATTACTAGGCTAAATTTGTATCCACAAATCAGAAATATACTTATTATATGTATTTGAATACTGATTATTAACCGACTTTAAAGGAAACCCAAACAAGTTAGCCATCAACTTGAGCCCCTTTATTGAGATCAACGAGGGATACTATTACTTTGGTCAGGAGAAAGTGAACTGGCATGTAGCCTATGAGAACTGCCGCAAGTTGGGCTCAGACCTGGTGACCTTCGAAACACCCCAGGAGTTTGACGCTGTGGCTGGGCATTTGAAAAGCAAGGGAGAGCGCTCCGATCACTGGACATCTGGCAATGATCTGGGAAAAACAGCCAACTACAATTGGTTTACCAACGGTCAGCCCATAACCACAAATAGGTGGGCCCCCAGGCAACCGGACAATGCTGGCGGAATAGAGCATTGCGTACATCTCGGCTATGTTTATGAGACTTCTACGGATATCGAACTGAACGATCGTCCCTGCAATGATGGAAGAAGCCTTTACAAATATGTTTGTGAGGCTCCAAAGCTAGAAACTATATCTATTGTAGTTTGGAAGTAACTTGACATAAGCATCCAAATTGCAAATAATAAATTAAATGTATGCAGATCATCTACAACTGTACTGACTAATTGCTGGGTTCTCTCTTACATAAATCTATGAGTACCTTAATACGCTAATAGTAAGGTTCAAATGGTAAGCCCTCTTCGTTTTCATCACCATTTTAGGATACACACTTACAGCCCAATTGAAAAACGGTTCTTTGATATTTGAATATACATTTTATTTTTCAGAAAAGTTGTTCATTTTTGTAATGACTTTACATTTACATATAGTATATATTTATATATATTCTCTTGCTGTTCTGCTCATGTGTTTCTGTTTTCTGTATTCTGTTTCATTGATCTTGCTTTTGTTGGAATGCAATATTATAGGTACGATACAAGTTGCACACACGAATTAACCCGATATCTATATAATGTTCTGAGTAACTTAAGAACAACGAATGCATTCCATTCAAACCAAAACCAAACAACCAAGGCAAACGCTCGAACTTTCGATTTTCGATTTTGGATTTATTTTTAACATTTACACTGATCAATATCGTTTGCAAATATGCTTAGTACTTAGCCGCGACCTGAATGCAGCTATCCGATATCATCAAGATACACTTGATTTGCTTTCCAAAAATATATGTATATGTATGTAGGTAGATATATCTCGTATATACACACGACTTAGGTAATGGCTGCTGTCGTCGAGTAGTAATCAACTATGTACTTCAATTGCTTGCAATTTGTTGGTAGAAAAATAAACCACTTGCTGCATCCGCTCTATCTGTTCTCTCTCTCTCTACCGATCTGTCTATATCCTTTGTAAAACCCCTGTCCCTGCTCACCAACCCAATCCCTCTATATAACATGGCTGTGAGGCATGGACCTTTAGTTGTGGCATGGATAGAGTGGTGCTCTCTTCTAGGTGGAGTTTATACAATCGCTCGGTTCTACAATCAGCATTCTACGAGTATAAGGTGGAACTGAAACAAGCTCCTAACAATCGCGCAAATCTATATCTCTAAGAAGGTGTACGAGTATATTGTGTATCTGGCGCATGCCTACATATCCTGAATATCTGCCTCGAATTGTGCGAATTACATTGGTTTAATTTTCAGTGCACAACAACTAGAAACGCTTGCAAACTACTCAACATTGGTAATGGGCAAAAATCACGGGGAGCGCAGACACTGAGTGGGAAAAGTACTCGCACTAGGTTGGGGATAATTCCACACTAATTAACTGGCCGTTAGCTTTGATATACACCTGGGTACTTATGTATGCCTGAATACATATTACGCAAACACTAAGCACTCGTATTTTGAACTCACAACAAAAACTTAAGGGCAAAGCAGAACTATCGGCCTCAATACCACATAATCATGCATGGATATTGATGGCTCAAACAATCGTCCGCTGCAGCAACAATGTGTGCGGCATATGTTATTCAGTTTTCGCTTGGTATATGCACCAGTCTACAATTTAATTGACAGAAGTTACAATATAAAATTATCTTCATTAATTCGCTCTCATTTGGTTTAGCATGTTTATGTTCGTTTTCATTTCATTTCTGATCAACGCACAACAAAATATCTACGAATTCAACAACATAGTTCCATAGACTACAAAAATGATTATTTCTTGATTTTTCTTTTATATTCCATTAAGCTTTTAGCTCGTGTGTGTGTGTGTGTGAGTGGGGTATGCTTGGTGTGTTGAGACATAATTGACTGCTTGTCAACAAACTAATCTTCGGTATAACATTCATATCAATATTTAATGATATCATGCTCGATCCAGAACGAAAGCCTCTCTCTCAAGGGGAGTTCTCGCCTGGTGTGTGGTATATCTTTTAGTAAACGCATTTTGGTCTCAAGTTAGTTAAATGAAGTTCGCGTATAGTCGGAGTGATTTAAGCTAATCAGTTATCGCAACTGCTGCTCGGTAAACAAGCCATTCGGTTTGGATTCTCTCTAAAGTCCTAAAAAGAAAGTCTTCCGTTTTGACAATACAACAGGAATTTCAACTTGATTTTCATTTTGGATTTTGCTTTTTGGGTTCAATGCGTGTTGAGGGGAGTTAATATATATACTATCCATATAGAGCGTAAATGTACATTGGTATGCGTGTGATTAGGCATGCACAACTACACAAAAATTGTCTGTCAAGATCGTTTAAATAACATCTAAAAACATCTTCACTGCCGTGAGTCTCTAAAGTTCACCATTTACTTCAATTTCCATATGTATATTTCCATTTTCAGGGTTGGGGTGCGTGCAAATTTTCAGCTAAATTTCTCTAAATTGTTGCATGCTACAAGAATTCTCTGGGTTTCGGTTTAGGATTATCTTTACAGTTTTTCGATTTTCGATTTTCTATTTCACAATTTCTTTTGTTTGTGTGCGTTGCTTTGTGAGTTCTTTCATCTTTTTAAACCATTAAAAACTTGAACTCCGATTAAATGAAATACTTTCACGTACTTTTACTTTACTTTTTGTTAGTTTCGAACTCGGTTCAGTGTAAAATATCAGCAAGTTTGTTTCGTTTGTTCTCTCAAATTTATCCTCCAGCGTCTTCTGTGTGTTCTTGAATATTTAGAATATGTTTCTGACTCGTTAGATTCTTGGGAGCTGGGGTTAAGGTAGGTTTGGGGGCGCAAATACACTACAAAAATTACACTTAGATATACCTATATTCGTTTCTACCATTGTACATTTATATATTAGCGTATGTGTATACATATATGTATATAATTTGTTTATTTATAATTATACTGAAATTGTATCTCAAAAGGGATATAAAGCCATTTAAGTTTGTCGGTTTGATTTCCTCAAAACCTCTTCCACCACCAGCAGCTCCGTCTGACTGCCGCGGAAGTATCTCTGTGTGTGTATATGTACGGGGTATGACCGATATCTGCGGAGAAAACTTACGACTTACAACTACAAAACAAATCTTGCCTGCCCGTCGCGGGGACCCTTTAAAAAAGTATAGCACACCTACGGGATCGGGGCGATATAGCTTGATCAATTGGGAGACCAACTTGCGGGTCTGGGATGAAGTAAAACCTCTGATTTGGCCAGTTTGGTTGTATAATATTGTGTATTTCATTCTGGTGTTCTTTCTGATTTTGTTTTAGTATAATTGCATAAAAGTCAACATCATTAGCATTAAAATAATCATAATTAAATATATGTATATCGTGTAAAACTAAAAAATAAAACGCTCGCTCTCAGCTCTGCTCGGCTTGGCTCCTCTTTATATGTATATAAAAGTCAAATCGTTAAAAGTTATCTTCGCCTTTAGTTTTACTTGCAATCAGCACTTTTGCACTAAAAATTATATCGACATTCTTTTTATTTTCTCAACTTCTCAGCTCGCTCTTTTCACAGTGCTCTCGATAAGGTAGCTCAAACGGTCGAAACTAAATTCAAACTGAAATCAATCAAGAACTCTAGAACTCAAAACTTGCAGTTTAGCTATATGTTACTTCTCACAATTTGGTGATTATAATTTTCGATATTAAGAACTTAACTTAAATGTGTGTTTCTGTGTTTGTGTGGGCGTATGTGGGTGTATGCGTGTGCTGTATAATTCATGGAGATGTGTGATGACCTCTGTCTCTGATGTTGTCTTCAAATCAATTTTCAATTTTCAATTTTCAATTTTCGCTTCAATTTCCTGGTCGTTTGTCTGCCTTTTGGGGTTTTATCATGTTTTAAGTCTAACACATAATTTAGTTGCTTTTGTTTAATAATATATAATATAAAAACTAAATAATTAATACGTTCCAACGCATAGCTAACTCGCATTTTGCTTCCGAGAACAGAAACTTCCACAAGCATTTCCCATCGGATCAGATCAGTGTTCTATATCCTCCCTTCCTGTGGTGACGATGTATGCAAGTGTTTTTCGGGTGTGGGGCTGTGTGGGCCGTTCCGGAGGATCCTTAGCCGCACACCAGCTTTTGACATCTTTCTCAGGTTGTTGGTTTTTAGTACAAGTACATATAGTTAATTAAATAGATAGGTAGGCAGGCAGGAGGCCCTCTCTCCCATCCCTAAATATGTTTGTTGTTGACAACAGAAATTCACTTAAACAAATGCCCAGCATTCGAGTGTTTTGATAACAAAGTCTTCTTGTGGCGCCAGAGGCTCGTTGCCGTATGTGCTGCACTGCTGCGATCGTCCCTGGTTGAGATCTCCATCCAGCCACAGGCCAAAGCGACCACTGCGAAATAGAGTTAAATAAGGTTAGGGACAGCTTTTCTTTGTCAAGATTTTTAAACTCACTCTCCAGCGCCGATCGAAAGGCTCTCCATGTTGCCTTTGATGAAGTACATATTCTCGCCAGTCCAATGGAATACCTTGAAGCTGGGGTTAAACTTGTAGAGCAGGGACTCGCCAGTGCCGTAAAAGTGATCCGACACATGCAGGGAGCAGGAGGTCAGGGCACCAAATACCTGAAAGGATTCGATTTTCAGTACAATTTCGCTTATGAAGTATCAATTTGTTTCATTCCTTTTGTCGAGTTTAAATTTATTTCTTTAATTGCTGCTCTCTTAACTGCACTTAGCTTTAATTTGAAATCTTGTTAACTGGTGTATTAAACTGGTATTAAAAAAGAATTTGTCTAATTAGCATTTCAGACTAAGCAATCAAAACAACCTTATTATTAGGTTTTTAAGCACGAACACAGATTAAGTGGCGAGCAAATCAGTTAGATTGTTTATTTCATCGCAGTATAGCAGCCCTTTAATAAGTTTCTCGGATATGAAGGGAGTTCACTAGCCCTCTGAAACCTGACATCAAATACTTGTCTTCACTATCAACCATCAAAAATGTAATAAACTTTTTATTGCAGGTCTTTCGCTAGCTTAAAAACTTTTATATTTATCACTTTCTTGGGGCATTGAACTTCCGACACAGGTTGTAATAGTAAATAATTTATGTAATTATCATCTAACTTTGCTTTGAAAACCCAAATAGTAACTAAGTATCAAGATTCTACTTACATTGTGCTCTGTGTCCTCGATGACAATCAGAACTGGACTCTCCAGACGCGCCATTTTGCGGTACAGGGAGTTAAGTGCGAAACCATGTTGTGATGTGCTGAAGATCAGGGACCAGGAGTATCCCTCGGCTCTAGCTGGCAGATGTGAGCACAGCTTCTCGCTGAAAATCGAAAGTAAATGCTTAGCTAATATACTTGCAAAGTTTGGATTACGAAATCCCATCAATGGCCGCTCAATAAAAAATATATAGAATTTGATTCGATAGAGGAAAATTCCACCGAAAATATCAACTTACCGATGCTCCTCTGTGAGGATTTCTGTCTTGCCAATCAGATCTGGGATGGGGAAGTCCAGGTCGAAGGAACCAGTGGCAAAGAGCGAAGTCTTGCGATATTCATCTGTGCTCATTGACAGCACCTGCAGAACGATTGATGAAAAAGTAAGATATTAGCACAATATATATGGATCTAATAAACGTCTATTGAACGTAATCTAATCGATAAGTCAAAAATATTAATATCAATTCCAAAACAAACTAAAAGTACGTTTCCAAAAGATATTTAAATACGTTTCTCTTGTTTTTTGGGAGGGGTTTTGGGGTTGTAGCTTTTCAAGTTCAGTGCTTGGCTTTGGTTGTTGGATTTCATTTTCAGGTTTATTAGTTGGAGTGCAGTGCTAGTTTACTGTGTCAACTGACTTGTGGGTGTCTCTTGTCTGGGTTTAGGTTAAACTACAAATTAAAAGAGCTCGCTTGGCATCGGCACTAGCTGAGTGAACGAAAGTGAAAGGAAAACACACTTAGATATTGCAGAGATGTTTATTTTACAATGCTGAAAATGCTGGGTGAAAATGGGACACCTTGCCAAGTTGGCTGTTTCTCCAAGATGTTTCCCCCAAAATTGAAGAGATGGAAGGAGAAGAGAGAAGTACCCTAGATAGAAATCCTTCAGCTTAGACAACTGTAATAAATTTTATTTAAGGTACTAATGGTTATACGATGAAATTACGACACATTGGCTAAAGAGATTATCGGGCCTCAATTTGGATGACTTCAAGGGATTTTGACAACTGTATGCGCGAACTTCCGGCTGGCTAGGACATTCTATTGACGGGCTGGGAGAGTGGTATGGACACGGATTGGAATTGCTTTGGACTCGTTGGGGGCTTGTCGTGGCACATTTTCGGTTGAGACTGGGACCTAGTAGCTGTTGAAGGCTCGGCTGGTGTGCTTGGACGAAGCATTTCCCAAGCGCTGCACGGCCGACTGCTTCCTGTATTCTGTTGGCATCCCGATGTCGTTGTTTTGCCCCACGGGGTATTCTGGGCTGGTCGCCTTCTTGGGCCCCCGCTTCTCGCCCATGACATTCCGTTCGCGCCCTTTGCTCTCCGATTCCAAGATAGAATCGCTCCGTGAGGACATCTGTAGAAGTGAGTGATTCGGCGATGGCCAGTTGGACTTGTAAAGATTCGCCCTGTCCCTGGGCTCGTCCTCATCTTCATCCTCATCCGGCCGGCGGTGCTCACCGAAAAATCGGGGCGCAGGCTGTCGTTCGACGGACTGCCTCGCTGAGCCGCGCCTCCTGCGCATGTCCCGGGGCTCCGACACGGCCCGCCGATAAGTTTTGAGCTGCGGCGTCGGATTCACAGACTCCACAATCTGCTTTTGATTTCCTTGTGCCGAACTGCGGAATCCGGAGTACTTATGGTTAATAACCTGCTGGGAGGCGCTTATCTGGGCTGCATTCGCAGCCGAATCGTAGCGAAGCTCATCCATACGGACTTGTCCAGAGTTACGGCGATCCCTGCTTCCGCCAAGGATGGCCTTCTTCAGGAAATCGCGCTCCGACTTCGGCTGCTCATATAACGAACTCGATTCGGCTGGTTCCTCCTCAAACTTCTGGAGGCCTCTGGCTACGGTGACATCCGGTCGCACTGCCCGGACCAAGGACACGTCCATTAGCTGATCCTCGGGGTTCTCTTCGACGGCCCTCTTCGGGCTGTGCCAACCGGTCTGCGGGCGCGGTTCGCTGCGCTGCTCCGAGAACTTCTCCTTAGCAGTGGACGTATACATCTCATAACTAGGTTCGGAGCTGAACTGGGGCGAGGCGAGTGCTGCATTGGTCAGGGCATCACGGTTGCGACTGACGTGACCCATGACCATCTGGCGGCGGCGTGGCCTCACCTGGCGATCTATCTGTTCCTCGGGCGATGACCCACTGCTGCTGTTGCTGCTGCTGCTAATTTCTTTGTCGCTAGCCGAAATATTAGAGAGATACTTGAGAGACCTTGGATGCTTCCAGCCCTGCATGGGATCTGATGGGCCGTTCTGCTGCCTGTTGGTCATCTGGTCGTGGTAGTTGCGTACCCTTTTGCGACCAGGATCGCAGTTAAGCATGTCGCGCGTCTCACAATCGACCACCATGAGCTCCTCTTGAATAGACTGGCTGATGTCCCTAGCCGCCTGCTGGGCCATGCCTTTGCCAATTCCAGCCGCCTGGTTGTACCGCCTCTGGGTGGCTGACAAGGAGGCAGTAGAGTTGGGTGGCATGGACTCTTGGTCCGAGTACTCCCCCTCGTCCTCCTCCTGCTCCTGGTGTTGCGCCCGACTGTTCAGGCTGCTCGAGAAGGAAAACAGACGCGTCTTGTCGTAAATCTTGTAGGGGTCTACCTTCGAGGACGCAATACTAGTGGACATTCCCTTCATTTGGTTGACCAGTGGCTTCTTCACTCCGGCGATGTTGCGCATCTGGCTTCGCTCAAAACTGTCAGGCTGTCTTTGCCTCGACCACTGGTTCAGCTGGCCCAGACTCTGGGCTGTGTATGGCCTTCTCCCGGTGTGATAGAAAGTTCTCATCGAGGTGGCTAACGGGGAGATCTGCAGGCTGACGCCCCGCTGGGCCAGCTTTCCCAGACTGCGCTGGTGGCTACTCATTCTGGAAACCGATCTACGCACAAAATTTAGCAAAAACCTCCAAAAAGCAAGCACTCGTATTCGCGGACTACTGAATTTACTTCCACGGATGCGGATTACTGACCAGCGAAAGGAAGCGAACGTCGAGACGCGGTATAAAATTCGCTTGGGGTAGATAATTTTTACTTTTGGGGAGCTCTGTACTCCTACAAAACAAAATAAAACTGGTCAGGACTGGCAACGAAATGAAACTAAGTAACTGGGCGACTGATGAAAACCGTTGAAGGCCAAGGCAACGCCTGCTGTTGCTTTTCTAAACATATTTATGAGCTGCATGATCAATATATTTGTTTTGGAAAAAGGATAATTAATTCAGATTCATTAAAACTTAAAATACCCATTGAAATCCCCATTGAGGAAAAAGAACCATCTAGAGAACCCTTTCCATCTCACCGCAAAACTTCTCTGGCTGAGACTCTTCCTGTGATGATGGTGAAACTTTCCCAGCTTTTCGTGCAATCCCATAACAGACAACCGCTTGATTGAAGTTTCTTTAAAGAACTAAACCAAGTCACTCCAAGAACAGGGAATTAAATTTCAAAACAATCTAATCTAGCCGAAATCTCAGTTCTTGATCGGTCAAAGCTGTTTATGTTGCCATCGATTGATAGCAGAAAAGCTACGCACTCATGTGAAATTCGTTTCGGCGCTCTGACTAATTTTCGAGTTCGGACTTTGTTTTTACGTGTTATTATATACATTATTTCGTGTATTGTCGCTGGGTGTGACAACGTCGGCATTGACAGCGTGTGAACATTTCGCAAGTGACGTCAATAAGTGTGCTAATTGTCTTTGCACTCCTCGAGTACGAATGGCCAAACAAACTCCCTTTGATTCAGCTGTTTTCATTAGTTTTGCCTACACCCAAAGAGAGCAGTTTGCAGACAGCACCCACGCATCAGTTGGCAACCAACACCTGCCACTTATTCGGATGTGAGATCATTCACATACCCAAAATCATCTCAAACTCAAGGCAACTCTCGTCCGACTCTGCGCTGCTGAAGGCCGTGATTCAACCATTAGCAAGTCTTGATAAGACCAAAAACAAAACTCACTCGCAGAATCATATATCACAGAAGCTTATATCACGAAAGTAATTTCCAAAATATGCAGCTAGCTGTATTCGAATTCGGCGTCGCAGTAGGGGGTTTGATTAAATCTCAGTCCTCGGATTCGGAAGGGTGATTGATTAGCTTTTGGCCACATACTCGAGTTGAAGAACCCCTGATTCGCCATCGAGTGTCAATATAGCATACCATATACTTCCATTCCAGCTAATTACGAAGGAACTCCCCGAGCAATCTCACCTACGATAGACGACCTCGCCGGCAATTAGACTGATATTAAATCTGCGATAAAGTCAGTTAGTCGCAGATAGCTGAGCTGCATGGAAGGTCGAGAGATCTGAACGGCAACTACTGGGAGTACTGAGCAAGGCTCAATTCGGGTCAGCGAATCAGATCGGAAACACATTTTGATCGCCAGACATCGCCAATTTCATACATGTATGCGCAATTTTCGCGACAAGCCAATAATGGGAACAAAAGAGCCCAGTAATTGAGGCGTGACTGCAATTTCCAGAGGCCCACGACAATTAAAAAGCAGAACGCAATTTGGCGGGCAGCGAAATGAAATAAAAACCGATTTTGAACGCACTTCCATGAGGGTCAGTTCGAAGTGGCTCAGATCAGAGCGGGTTTTTCGGAAGAGAGAGCCAAAGTCAAACGTCAATGACAGTCTGGCGTCTGCCTGGTACATCGCATATAGGTTTATACTCGTATATTTGCCGAGCACTTCAACGCACGAGCTCATTTGAGCCCGAGTTGTGTCTAACTGTTGAGTTTGTAGCGTTAACAACCAAATACATTTTAAAAACTAATGAAAACCCATATCGAACAGCTTGAAAATCACATGAATCATGAGTTCGTGCCTGCACTAATGATGTTTTTACCTCGCGGTCGAGTCCATGACTGACAATCAATTCGCACATCTTCATATAGTTTGGCGCTTGGCTTGTTGTTACTTTCAATCAATTAATTCAAATTTCTTCGGTTCACAGATTCTTTGCACACACGTTGTCGCTCAGGTGGCGTATGCGCAATATCAAGTATACGCCACTCAGGCACGTGCTCGGCGCTCGGTTGTTGATCGAATCAGAATCTTTATCGTCCGTTGCTCTGCAGGAATATAGGTTGGGGTTTGTATAGCCGAGAGATGCTGCAGGCGATTAACTCCGCCGACTTGACCGACTTTGGCGTAGCGCGTTTAAAAGCCAACTGCCAGCAGACTCAGTCCAACCGTTTTTATTGGCCGCCAGCGAAAATATATTTATTTGCCGCTCGCTCAAAGCAAACTGAGCTCAAGTCGTGAGTTGGTTCGACGGAGCAGAGAGTTAGTTAAATATATTATATTTCTACGGAGAGAGGGCTTATATCGTGTTTATGGCTTCGGTGAACGGGAGAGGGGAGAAATAAATAAAATATATTACAAATATTAGACAGTGACAAATTGCTCACGTCGGGTTTTCTCATTTCAAACTCTCAAATGCAACCTTTTCGTGCTTATTGTGGCATTGATTTTAGATTTTATTGGAACAAAAATGTGTAAGAAATCTGCACAATCTTTTCTACGATCAAGTTATACTATCATTCAATTTCGTTTCGCTAACCTATGGCAAGTTCTGTAATTAGAACAATTATAGATAGCCTGGCCGACATTGGACCGAGCTTTGCGAACATAAATTGAACAACTAGGAGCCAGTTATCTTTACGATGTTTGCCAGAAATCATGGCAGCCCACTTTGCTGGCATCTGAAAATCGGTAGCTGCGGATAAGATCTATATAGTCGCCATATACAAGCAATTAATGTTTACGACCTCTTGTTTAGTCAAGGGTCGTAAAAACAATCGGGCAGGGAAGAAAATAATTCCCAAGGGAGTTTCCCTCTGTAATTCAGTCACGACACAAGGCTCGCATTTCAGTTCAGCAGTTGACCAGAAATATTTGCACAACAAGATTGGCAATTTGTTTTCGTTTTCTCTCCGATGTCCGATGTCGAGATAAGATAGCACTCAGTCCTATCTATTTTTAATAATTAATGTAGAGCACATTATAATTGAATGGCAGCGGCTTAAACTTCGTTTCCCTAGAATCAAACGAAGGTCAGACCATGATATTAGACTGTCCTTGTCTTAGGAGGATCGTCTTTGACTGTCACTATATTTTGACATGATGTCAACAAATGTGTGTATAACAATGAAGAGAACTAAAATCGTAGAGTAGGAAGTTATTTGCTCAGCTCTTAAGAAAGCACTATATTATTTAGCTGTAGAATCTAATGACTAACTACGGTGTTGACTTCATAAATGAATCATGTTAACTGTATTTTTTTTCACTCAGTCAATGAAGTTAGCCATTTGAACTGTGTTAAAACTACTATATAGACTCGTAGAGGACACGTACTTTGGCTTGAGGAACGGCGGCGAACATGTTCCGCAACGGGTATGCTTCAACTGGTTTCTCTGGGCCCGAAAAGTTAAAAGTGTGTGGCAGACAGTCGAAACCAAAGAACCGGCCTCAAAACAAAAAGTTAAAAAGGTAAAGGCAGCTAAAAAGAAGAGGGGCTAGCAGAAAAGAGCTTACCGGGCAAACGGGTATTGAGACCTGATAGCCGCGAAAGAGCCAGCAAAACAAAGGGGCTAAAACAAAGAACGGCAGACATGGCAAAAAGGTAATAGGTATGCACAGGCATACGCGGGTTGGGTATTCTTGGGCTAACTTGGAAGGGGGTTGGGTGGTAATTAAGGTGTGTGAGAGGCTTGGCCTGGGAAAGGTGCGAAGGCAGGTTATGGTATCGGAATATCGGAATACATCAGCACATGAACGTGCACAACAATCTAGTTATTACGATCAAAGCTGCATTACTGTTGTTTCTTTATATAACATTAAAACCAACCTCTAAACAGTGCTCATTGTTTGAGTAGTTCTAAATCATGTAAACCCATAAGTTGTAAGACATTTCAACAAAAGAAGACGTGCTAATTAACGTGTTCTGTAGTTATGACCAATAAATTTCCCAGAAGCTAGTACTACAAGCACATTGTCTATAAAGAGAACTCTTATGCATACATATGGCAGAGAAATATCTAATTCCCAGAGGGAATTTGCAACTCCGATAACCTAATTATAGCCCCTTCTTGTTTTGTTTTTACGTTTTCCTGCTTTGCTTATCGTTTCTTGTTACTTTCCAGTATTATTTTCAACATTTTGCTCTCCGTTCTTGAATAGACTTATCAGCATTTGTTGTTCTGTACTCCACTTCACTTGTTTTTGCTTAAATGCATTTAAATATAGCGAAGCGAGGCAGTTCGGTGCGCAATTTGTCGTTTTGTAGGCTTGTTTGGCTTTTACACTTCCATTTTTCCCCTCTGCTCTGCTGTTTTCATGTCTATGCAAATATTGAGTTTGTTTCTAGGAATAAGTTAGGTTGTGAGGTCACATCGTCGCCCCAACTAGCCAAGTATTTGACAAAGTTAAATAGCAACTAGCGAATCATCCCACTTTGATGGGGTGCCAAGTGATCTCTATGATGGAATTTCGTCCGGAAAGATCATTGACCCGGGCCAAACACCAAAGTTCGAGACACCTGACAGGTTGACAAATGGGGTTCGCTTCGAGATTCCTAACCCTCAGCCACATTTGTGTCTAATTATGATGGCATAATAGTTGCAAATCAGCTCAAGCAATTAACTTGCCGTTCAGTTCAGTTCGTTCTCGTATCCAAAGTGATTTGTAATAGGAGAAACGTGTGCGATAATGGCTCCTATAATCGATGTAACCCTTATATTCTTGACACTAATTATTATCCACACTAGGCAACAAGGTTGAGATGGAACTAGTGTAAGGAACGTTCATTTAAGCTATATAATAAAAAGTATCATGAAATCTATCCACCTTCCAATGAAATTAAGATCTCATCAGTACGATTACATCCCGATCGGCACTCACCGTTTCGTGCATTTCACCACTCTCGTCTAGCAGCGCCTCCAGACTTTGGTCGTCCTTGGTGGGCGAAAGAGGGGGCGTGGGCGCTCGGTTCTTGGCCGTTAGAAAGGAGCGGGGCAGCAGATGGCGGCCATAGTGCAAGTAGAGGTAGCGCCCCCACTTGCGACCGGCCAATCCGCAAACGGCCAAAATGGCAAAAATGGAAATTGCAAACCACATGTTGCTGATGGCCAACAGTGGTGGTCAGAGGAACAACAGCAGCAGCAGCTGCAAAAGCTCGTGGTTGGGGGTGTCCCACTTTTATTGGCTAGCACTGTACGAAAGCTTTTGCGCTC